AGGACGAAATTACTCTGTTGGTATAGAATGCTGACGAGCGCTAAACAACATTCATTCATTCACCGACCAGTTTCAGTGTCCTGTTAGATGATTCATGGTTCAAGTATAGCAACACCCGACACACCTTATCCCCCGCTATACTCAAGTACAAACAAACATGTCACGGTGACACAACGCTCTAACAAAAATATGTGCCTACACGATTCATTAAGGGAGACAACTCTGCAACGTTCGAGTAAATGCTTTTCACTTTTCTACTATTGAAGCTCATTCACTATTCACAACGACTACCACACAGACATCGTGAAGGACAACTTCCTTACTGGGAGATTTAGGTCAGAGCATAGCCGAGGCGACATGAGACAGCTTTAGGTAAGTAGAACGTTCAATCGTTCACTCGGAATATCTAAGTGTTGTTTTTACTGTTTGTGACCCCGTGTTGTGTGGGGGACGGGGGAGAGTGGGGCCGTGCGTCCCAGTTGTCCCTTGGAGCGTGAGAGTTATTCAGCTGAACCCTGTGTGGAGACACCAGGGCTTCGCAACACTGCATACGCCGTGACATGGATGGTGCAGTTAACAGTATTCTTTATTTGAAACATTCGCGACTGTTGTACATTGTTGGCGAGGATTATAAGTTGGTCTTATGATGTCAAAGTCAAGTCGATTACCAGCTTCATACTTTCATACTGATATATATATATATATATATATATATATATATATATATATATATATATATATATATATATATCAATACTGTGTGGTATTGGCGTTTGTGTACATTTCGAGAGCATGCCTTTCAGAGTGTGTGTGTGTGTGGCTGTGTACATGTTAAAATTCTAATGTGTTTTAGAGAATGCGTGTCTATTTCACTTGTGTCATATCTAGTGTTCTAGTGGTGCCATGTGTGTTTAAGTGTGCCATGTCTGTTTTAGTTGTGCCATGTGTGTTCATGTGTGTCATGTCTGTTTAACGTGTGTCATGTCTGTTTTAGTGGTGCCATGTGTGTTCTTGTGTGCCATGTCTGTTTCACTTGTGTGATAGACATCCTTCTTGTGTGTCATGTCTTTTTATGTGTGTATCGTATGTTTACTGCGTCTACATCTGTGTGATCTGTGTTATTTATATCGATGTATCTGTTTCCCTGTTTCACCTGCCGTGGTGTTATCTATGAACTGTGTCTGTCTAATATGAGTGTTTGTATCAGTTGCAACAAAATCATTAAATGCACTATCGTGTAACTGCATTTTCTGGTTCAGCGATCACTTGATTGTATGGTTTGTTTACAGGCCGCCGTCACATGGTAGGATACTGCTATGCGGGGTCAGGCAATACATACTTACTGTGTTTATACATATTGTGGGAATAGCGGGTGCTACCGGTTTTTAATCCGTTTCTGCGGATAATCTAGACTGGTTATTTTCTTGCATTGACAATTTGACAATATTTCTGTATCTGTGGATTTGGGACTTTGATGTCACAGTGTGTATAATGTGTCCCTTTATCTGTGGGTAAGTGTGATTTCTGTGTCTTTACATCTAGCAGTGTGTCTTTGTCTATTTGAGTGTGTGTTTGTGTCTGAGAGTGTGTTTGTGTCTGAGTGTGTCTTTGTCTATTTGAGTGTGTGTTTGTGTCTGAGTGTGTCTTTGTCTATGTGCGAGTGTGTGTTTGTGTCTGAATGTCTTTGTGTCTGCGAGTGTGTCTTTGTGTCTGCGAGTGTGTCTTTGTGTCTGCGAGTGTGTGTTTGTGTCTGAATGTCTTTGTGTCTGCGAGTGTGTCTTTGTGTCTGAGTGTGTGTCTTTGTGTCTGCGAGTGTGTCTTTGTGTCTGCGAGTGTGTCTTTGTGTCTGCGAGTGTTTATTTGATTCTGAGTGTGTCTTTGTGTCTGCGAGTGTGTCTTTGTGTCTGCGAGTGTGTCTTTGTGTCTGCGAGTGTGTTTGTGTCTGCGAGTGTGTCTTTATGTCTCAGTGTGTGTCTTTGTGTCTGCGAGTGTGTCTTTGTGTCTGCGAGTGTGTGTTTGTCTCTGCGTGTGTGTGTTTATGTCTGCGAGTGTGTCTTTGTGTCTGCGAGTGTGTCTTTGTGTCTGCGAGTGTCTTTGTGTCTGCGAGTGTGTGTTTGTGTCTGCGAGTGTGTCTTTGTGTCTGCGAGTGTGTGTTTGTGTCTGAATGTCTTTGTGTCTGCGAGTGTGTGTTTGTGTCTGCGAGTGTGTGTTTGTATCTGAGTGTGTGTCTTTGTGTCTGCGAGTGTGTCTTTGTGTCTGCGAGTGTGTCTTTGTGTCCGAGTGTGTGTTTGGGTCTGCGAGTGTGTCTTTGTGTCTGCGAGTGTGTCTTTGTGTCTGCGAGTGTGTCTTTGTGTCTGAGTTTGTGTCTTTGTGTCTGCGAGTGTGTCTTTGTGTCTGCGAGTGTGTGTTTGTCTCTGCGAGTGTGTCTTTGTGTCTGCGAGTGTGTCTTTGTGTCTGCGTGTGTGTCTTTGTGTCTGCGAGTGTGTGTTTGTGTCTGAGTGTGTGTTTGTGTCTGCGAGTGTGTCTTTGTGTCTGCGAGTGTCTTTGTGTCTGCGAGTGTGTGTCTGTGTCTGCGAGTGTTTATTTGATTCTGAGTGTGTCTTTGTGTCTGCGAGTGTGTCTTTGTCTATGTGAGTGTGTCTTTGTGTCTGCGATTGTGTCTTTGTGTCTGCGAGTGTGTCTTTGTGTCTGAGTGTGTTTCTTTGTGTCTGCGAGTGTGTCTTTGTGTCTGCGAGTGTGTCTTTGTGTCTGAGTGTGTGTCTTTGTGTCTGCGAGTGTGTCTTTGTGTCTGAGTGTGTGTCTTTGTGTCTGCGAGTGTGTCTTTGTGTCTGCGAGTGTGTCTTTGTGTCTGCGAGTGTGTCTTTGTGTCTGCGAGTGTCTTTGTGTCTGCGAGTGTGTGTTTGTGTCTGCGAGTGTGTCTTTGTGTCTGCGAGTGTGTGTTTGTGTCTGAATGTCTTTGTGTCTGCGAGTGTGTGTTTGTGTCTGCGAGTGTGTGTTTGTGTCTGAGTGTGTGTCTTTGTGTCTGCGAGTGTGTCTTTGTGTCTGCGAGTGTGTGTTTGTGTCTGCGAGTGTGTCTTTATGTCTGAGTGTGTGTCTTTGTGTCTGCGAGTGTGTCTTTGTGTCTGCGAGTGTGTGTTTGTCTCTGCGAGTGTGTCTTTGTGTCTGCGAGTGTGTCTTTGTGTCTGCGAGTGTGTCTTTGTGTCTGCGAGTGTGTCTTTGTGTCTGAATGTCTTTGTGTCTGCGAGTGTGTGTTTGTGTCTGCGAGTGTGTCTTTGTGTCTGAGTGTGTGTCTGTGTCTGCGAGTGTTTATTTGATTCTGAGTGTGTCTTTGTGTCCGCGAGTGTGTGTTTGTGTCTGAGTGTGTGTCTGTGTCTGCGAGTGTTTATTTGATTCTGAGTGTGTCTTTGTGTCTGCGAGTGTGTCTTGTCTATGTGAGTGTGTGTTTGTGTCTGAGTGTCTTTGTGTCTGAGTGTGTCCTTGTCTATGTGAGTGTGTGTTTGTGTCTGAGTGTGTTTGTGTCTGCGAGTGTGTGTTTGTGTCTGCGAGTGTGTCTTTGTGTCTGAGTGTGTGTCTGTGTCTGCGCGTGTTTATTTGATTCTGAGTGTGTCTTTGTGTCTGCGAGTGTGTGTTTGTGTCTGAGTGTGTGTCTGTGTCTGCGAGTGTGTGTTTGTGTCTGCGAGTGTTTATTTGATTCTGAGTGTGTCTTTGTGTCTGCGAGTGTGACTTTGTATCTGTGTGTCTTTATTTCTGTCAGTGTAGCCGTGACCTGTATTTAAGTGCTTTTGTGTATTTGTATTCAGTAGAACGCGTGTATTAGGAACAGATTTCCTTGTAGGCAGTGTTTGTTTCGGTCATTCTCGATATGTTCATTGCAAAACAAATATGGAAGGCTTGTGCTTATGCACACCGCTTTGAACAGTATTTCAGTTTTATCACGGCGTGTCAGATTGATGTAGGAGGAAAACCCGAAGATTTCAGACGTTCGCCACGAGCACACGTATGGTGGGTACTGACAAACCAAAGGCGAACCGTGATTCGAAACCGCGATGATACTGTAGGATATATAGGTCCGTGGGCAAACTGAAGGCTCGCAATGACAATTTTGACGACTGGGACACCGATGTACAATATATCAGAGAGTGAACGAGTGAGTGCAGTGTTATTCCGCATTTAGTAACATAACAGTCATATCATGACCACAAATAACCTTTATGGATTGTAACCTTATTAGGAACCGACGCCCACGGAGTAAAGGATAAATGAAACCACGAGGTGATTTAACTGAAATACAGTTCAAAGTGGCGCTAAACAAAACTCACCCACTCATGGCAGTATGAACTTATCGTACGCCGATATATCGTATCGCCTGTGAGATATGGCCGATATGTATCATTGAATAGCCACACCCTTCGTCAATATTCCACAATACATACAAAGTGATACAACGTTAGAGTTCTCAAGTGATTGATTCCTGGTGTCCCTGTCGTGAGTTTGCTGGAATATTGCTGCGGCGTAAAAACATACTCATTCACTCGTCCTATAAATAATACTTCAGTACAGAAACCCCCGCCCGATGCCTCTATGGCATGTGTTATTCGACGTCGATCATCCGTTACCTTTCTTGAAATAGTACGCTCCAATTAACACATACAAATTTGTATCTGCTTCCAATATCAATCACTTGAGAACTCTAACATTCATATATAGTGTTTGTTTATCCTCGGAGTGTATTTGCTTTAGGAACGCATTGAAGACCTGTTCAACAAGTTTGATGGGTGTGATGAACGAAATTCTGAAACGTTGTACACATCCTCTGTTGATATTTCAGCATTCATATTTCAATGTTTTCTTCACATGGATACAACTTCTCCCTGCACATGCGACACCACTCGCCAAGTTCCGTGGCCATTCGGCTTGTCCCGGGAAATGTCACGACTGATCATGATATCCCAACTTAAAGTCCCTTGAGTGAGGTCACGTATGTAGGGGTCAGATTTAGAACGTTCTAGAATCCTAAAATTAGATCTAATTATATACGCGAATGGAGTAAAGGTAGGTTTAATGTAACAGCGTGGGGTGCGTGGTAGGGATGTGGACTGAGGGTGGGGTGGGATTGGATGGGGCTCGTGGACTGATCGTGGGGTGCGTGTAGGGGATGGTAGACTGAGGGTGGGGGTTTTAGACTCTGGCTGGGGTGGTGTGGGGCTGGTGGACTCAGGGAGGGGTTTGTGGTTGGGGTCGTAGACTGATAGATGGGTGTGTGAGAGGGGTGTGGGGGGGGGGGGGGGGGGTAGGTGGGGGGTCGTAGACTGATAGATGGGTGTGTGTGAGGGGTGTGTGTGTGGGGGGGGGGGGGGTAGGTGGTTGGGCTTGGGGTGTGATAGGGAGACTTGTACCAATTTCATTTGAACTTAACAACTGTAAATAGTTTTTTTATTCTAGTAACCAGTTCCTTATACAACCGTGTGCTGTTTAGAAGGGTGTTTGATGTGCTATTACACCAACGCCATACCATTGAATATTAATGATGTTGAGTAATCTGGGATTCGAACCCAGGACTCCTTATAATGTTTGAGTAATGCAGATATTTATAGGATGGTTGAGTAGACAGGTGGTTATAACATTTGGTGGTCACGCCTTACAATTGCTGGAATAAGGTGGCGTAAAACCATAAGGATTTCACTGTAAGAAACAAACGATATAACATGGACACAATGGAAGGGTTTCACACATTGTACAAATGTGAGATTCGAATTTGTGTCTTCATAGCGACGATCGAACACTTTAACTACTTGGCTACATCATAATTGAGTGAGTGAGTATCATTTTACCCCGCGTTTAGCAATATACCAGCAATACCAGGACGGGGGCACTAGATATGACCTTCACGCATTGTACGAAGGCTACTCCATAACTACGAGTTCATCGTGAAAGTTCAGTTATACGTCTCATCGGCGCCCTTAACCGTAGTGATATTTCCTCAAATTAACGTTTATTTACAGATCAATGTAGGTGTATTTCCAGATACACAGGATTTCCGAGTAGACACACTTCTTTGGTGGTTGACGGTTTCCTAGACACAGAAACATCCTGCAGCAAGTTAGTTGAGCGTCAATAGGATCTGGGAGTGGTCCTTAGAGCATCAGCGTGTAATAAATTATAATATTACCGTACCCGGGTCTACAGCCAGGCACGAATGTACCTGTTCATGTTCACGAAATGTTCTTCAAGTTGACATATTTTATAGCCCTAGAGATCCGGGGTAGAATAGGTCTTCAGCAACCCATGCTTGCTGTAAGTGGCGACTATGCTTGTCGTATTAGGCGACTAACGGGATTGAGTGGTCAGGCTTGCTGACTTGGTTGATGCATGTCATCGTATCCCAATTGAGTGGATCGATGCTCATGGTACCAATCACTGGCAAAGTTCACTGAATGATGAGACTGTTTCCTTCCTGATAACGCCAATACAGGGAGTGATTAAGTGCTTAACGCCGCTCTGGACAGCATATCCGTATTTCAGTTACCCGTCAAGATCCGGCCAGGTTAGAATAGGATTCAGCAACTCATGTTTGTCGAAAGACGCGACTATGTTTGTCGTAAATGGTCAGGCTCGCTGACTTGGTTGATACATGTCATCGTATCCAAATTGCGTGGATCGATGCTCAGACTCGATTATTTACAGACCGCCGTCATAAAGCTGGAATATTGCGGAGTGCGGCGTTAAGCAACAAACAAACAAACAAAATTAATGTCCTACTTGCGTCGAGTGGAGTCTGCCTACGATAGTTTAGAACATATATAACAGTGTTACAATGTGATGCAGTGGTCACTCAGATAATACAATATTCCCCTTTATTTATCTGACGCATATTGTCATTCTGTATAAATAACCCCGACAAAACCCTTTCCATATTCATAAAGCATATCTGCTGGAAGCAGAGTGGACTGTACGATTCGACTATATCATGAGCATGTGTCCATGATGCTATTAAACAGTGATGATACCAGGTGTTCGCGAAAAGGCAAGCTTATCCTGTCCGACGGTGGCATCCGTCACAAACACATGCAAAGACAAGTCAATTGTTCACCTGAAAAAAGACATGGGAACATATGATCCAAGTCAAAACAGGGAAGTGCATCGGACATCATATGTTAAATGTCGTAAATCTCCGTTCTTGAATCCAGTTTAGTGTTTGAAAGAATTCGGTGTTTCCATATTAATATTCAAACTGCAGTTGACAAGTAGATTTGAAAAGTTGAAAGTCAGATGAAAAGATCTCGCATCGTCCTTTTGTCGCTCTTATGTAGGTGCGACCAGCCCTCTAGAAACTGTACTATCCGGAAACTTCTTGAAAGATCAAGCCCGTCATAGGCAAGGTATGCAAGGGCAGATAACTCCAATTCCTAGCACAAAACCATTCTAGAAAGCTCTTCTCGTCGCCACGACATCACGCGGGATCTCTTTCACTAACACTTCCATCATGTTCTGCCACTGATAGTGTTCATTAGTTACTGGGGCGGTGGGGTAGCCTAGAGGGTAAAGCGTTCGCTCGTCACGCCGAGGTCCCGGGTTCGATTCCCCACATGGGTACAATGTGTGAAGCCCATTTCCGGTGTACCCCGCAGTGATATTGCTGAAATATTGCTAAAAGCGGTGAAACTCCCGAATCAACTCACTCACTCTTAAGTTATTCTATATAAATATATTAACAACAGTTTCCACCGCCACTAAAATAACATACACATAGCAATGTGGATATGAAGATCATTAGAGATATAGTTCATTTTCGTTTGATCATTATCTTCATATAAAGTCCGTAATCATAAAATTCATGATCATATAAAGAGTATCATCATATAATCATTTTCATAATAAGAACTTCGAAATGATAGGAGCGTGTGGTGAGTGGGATTGTTGTACCACTTAGTATGGACCAGACAAACCAGTGATTGATATTGTGAGCAACGAAGGTTGATGACTCCATGTCAGAGAAATGTTGTATATCATAATGAAGATGAGGGTTTATACTTTTATGAAAACTACTATCTACAAATCTAGTTCAACGTCATTATTATAAACATCTTGAATTTCAGAATAGTGATGACAACATGTCTGACTCACATTCGTACTGGTCAGCGATATATTACAACAGCTCCAACCGAGACAAGGCAAATGAGTAAGTACTGGTCAGGTTTATATACTGAACCGCAAAAGAAACGTCACCCTAAGTGACATTGCATGAAAGGTTTTCATTTCAATATCATGATAACGCCCGTGCCCACACCGCGAGAGCAACAAGAGATTTCATCCACCATGCAGTGGCCTGCCCTCAGTTCCGATTTTAATCCCACTGAGCACCTGTGGGACGAGATTCAAAGACGGCTGAATGACGTCCGACCAAGGCCGACAACTGCAGCTGAACTGCGTCAGGCGTTCCTCAGGGTGTGGGCTTAAGTGCCTATGGCCTTCATCAACCACCTCATCCATTCCATGTATCGACGTTGCACCGTAGTCATCAATGCACATGGCGGACACACGAAATACTAACTTGTGATTTTCTCAGAGACTAGTGTTGTGTTTCACTTTTATAGGAACATTTGGCACTTTAATTTCAACCTTGATGATCAGTTTTGCCAAGTTTCATCTTTTTAATATGTCTCAAAGTATGTTTACAATGTTTGGACAAATAAGGTTTCTCAAATATCTATCCATTGTGATGTTTCTTTTGCGGTTCAGTATATGTCACCATAAACTGCGGACACAAGACAGAAACACAAACACATGCACTCACACACACACACACATGCACTCACACACACACACACACATTCACTAACACACACACTCACACACACATTCACCCACACGCACACACACACATTCACTCTCGCACACACATGCACTCTCTCTGTCTCACATGCACGCTCTCTCTCTCTCACACACACACTCGCACAAACATGCCTTCACACACTCACACGCACACATGCACTCTCTCTCTCTCACACACACACACTCGCACAAACATGCCTTCACACACTCACACGCACACATGCACTCTCTCTCGCACACACATGCACTCACACACACACACACTCACTCTCACACATGTACACACCCACACACATTCACTCACTCTCTCATACACACTCACACACTCTCTCCTACACACACATGCCTTCACACGCAGACATGCACTTTCTCTCGCACACACATGCACTCACACACATAAACTCATTCTCACACATGTAAAAACTCACACACATTCACTCACACTCTCTCCTACACACATGCACTCACACACACACACTCACTCTCACACATGTACACACTCACACACATTCACTCACTCTCTCATACACACTCACACACTCTCTCCTACACACACATGCCTTCACACGCAGACATGCACTTTCTCTCGCACACACATGCACTCACACACATAAACTCACTCTCACACATGTAAACACTCACACACATTCACTCACACTCTCTCCTACACACATGCACTCACACACACATGCACTCACGCACACACATGCACTCACTCACATTCTCTAACACACACACTCACACACACATTCATTCACACGCACACACACATTCACTCTCGCACACACATGCACTCTCTCACTCACACATGCACGCTCTCTCTCACACACACACACAGACCCTCGCACACACATGCCCTCACACACACGCGCGCGCGCACTCACACGCAGACATATGCACTCTCTCTCAAACACACACACATGCACTCACACACACACTCACTCTCACACATGTACACACTCACTCACACAGACTCACACACATTCACTCACTCTCTCACACACTCACTCACTCACACATACTCTCAAACGTACACACACTCACACACATACATACACGGGCCCTCACACACTCGCACACACATTCTCTCTCTCAAATTTAATCTTTCCTTACATATTCATGACGACATCTCGACTTCGTTCATGCTCATGCAGGGTGCACAATTTGGATGTTTTGCGTGTTTGCGATACTCGCACACGTGCTTTGTAAATGTGACCAACACTTATTGATTGTTTACCTGTCAGGTGCTCATCACACCGTTTAACCGTAAAAATCGCTACCACAATGCCACAGCGTGCTGAAATTCATAGTCTACGCGCTGTGGGCATGCTGCGAGCAGAAATGGCGCAAAGTGAAGTTGCTAGACATGTTAATGTTCATCGAAACACCATGTTATCTCTTTGGAGACTTTATCTACAGCAGGGCAAGACAACCATATTCGGTTGGTGCATCTAAAGAATCGATACCTAACTGGATACTTTATCTACAGCAGGGCAACAAGACAACCATATTCGGTTGGTGCATCTAAAGAATCGATACCTAACTGGATACTTTATCAGGGCAACAAGAGAACCATATTCGGTTGGTGCATCAAAGGGAATCGATATCCAACTGGCATATTAAAAGCTCGGTCAATCCCTGGGTTGAGGCAAATCAATAAGTTTTAGATCCGTACGCAACCGGTTGAGGGATCACAATATCCGGCCCCGACGTTCAGCGATACGCCCAATTGTGCTTCCACGTCACCGCCAGGCACGCCTAGCTTGATGTAGATAGTATATGTGGCTCATAAGACAAGACTGACACAGTTTATTGTTCCCAGATGAGTCCAGGTGTCATCTAAATAGCTCTGATAGTCGTGAATTGGTCTACTGGCGTCCAGGAGACCTTTTAATGACACTTGCGTTACTCAACGTCGTCAGTGTTATGGTATGGGATGGCATCACAACTCATGAAAGGACACAACATTACAGCAGAATACAGCACGCCCAAGTTTTGCACGTGTTGTAACAGACTTTTTGAGACCTCTCCCCCATAGAACATGTATGGGATGAGATAGGTAGACGCCTACGACAGGACCAGAATCAGCCGGCAACGCCAGCTCAGTTGGACCAACCTTTGTTTGATATTCGGAACAGCATCAGCAGGCTGTTGTCAATGCGCTAAGCAGGGGAGAAATCGGAGCATTTATCTCCACACATGATTTAATGTTTGTGTATTTGTAATCTGTATTACCATTTACAACAATGTTACAACAACTATTCCACATAAGTGTTGACAAAACTTCCGTATAATGCGCGAGGGAGCAGCCTGCATGCTTAAACTAGGAATACATTTGTATAGAGATATGCGAAACAGCCATTTGTACCCTAAGACGTTGTATTATCGCACATCGAGTTAAAACAGGCAAAATATCATTAAGAACAGACGGTTTGTTGTGTTTCACTAGTCTAGACTGGACTCGACTGGAATAGACGGTGTCACGAGTTTACACAGTTAAGCCCGTATCCCAGTTGCGCATACAGTTAAGTGAGTGAGTGAGTATGGTTTTACGCCGCTTTTAGCAAAAGTCCAGCAATATCACGGCGGGTCACACCAGAAATGGGCTTCACACATTGTACCCATGTCGGGAATCGAACCCGGGTCTTCGGCGTGACGAGCGAACGCTTTAACCACTTCGCTACCCGATCGCCCCGCATACAGTTAAGACTAAGGCGGACTGGAATAGGCGGTATCCAAGTTTGAAACATTTAAGACTAGACTGTACTGAAGAACACAAAGGTGAAAGCCCCGGACAATGAAGACGACCATCAGAGTCAGGGGTCAGGGGTCAGGGGACTTGACTGACTTCGTGTCATCGTGACACGATGGCTTGGATCCTTTTCGTCTTTTCAATCACCGGTTTGTGTGACCCTAAATTATTGGGATACCCCACTGGGATATGGGTGGATATTTGCTCACTGTGGCATAAAGCTTCATTCAGTCAGTCACCCACTTCATGATAATAGATGTAAACCATGTACCTGTTTTCAAAAGCATTTTTGCACTTTTATAGCGACGTGCATGCACGTGCGTGTGTGTGGCTGCTTGTACTAGTTTGGACTAACGCCGATTTTATAGTGCTAGCACAATGAGATACCATGCCGCAAGTTTAACAGGAATACCCTGCTCAGACACAGTATACTGACTCCGAGCCGACCAGCCCTTGTTTTAGCCCCTTAATGCCGAGCGCCACAACATGTGCCATCTTTTAACGTCTTTTGGTATGATGCTACCGGGGATCGAACCCCCGACCTTCCGCTCTCCGGACGGGCGCTCTCCCACTGGACCCCGGAGGCGGTCGTATCCCATGTGTGCTTAACCCTTACGGGATTTTGGTGCGGAATAGGTCCACAGTCCCCAAATGTACCCATAGGGTCCGACTAACGGGAGGATCGGGAGGTTACAGACTACCCTGATGCGAGTATCGTTGCTCATGATTTCAACCACTGGTTTTTAAATCAGGAGTCGGAAATCGTAACTCTCGAGGGCAGGAGGATTCAGTACCATACTGGGCTGTGATGATAACTACAACCCCACTGATGTCATGATTGACGTCACACTATGATGACGTCATATGTGAGTGAAGTTGATGTTGCTTAAAAATATGATTCAATTATAAATATATTCGTTCTGTCGCACTGATTAGAAAGGTCAGCCAAGAAAACTAATTTCTGGTTATTCTCTTACAGCATCATCAGACGACTGGCAGAGGACGGCGTGTTCCTTGTTCGAGATGGGACGCAAGGAAATGTCAGTAGGAATGCAGCTGCAGTCTTGTTCCTTAATCACGCCATCAGATTTTGCTAACAGTGACATCCCCACTACCCCAGACACCACCCTATCAGTTTTACCATGTCTCTGCTACCCCAGACACCACCCTATCAGTTTGACCATGTCCTGACTGCCACAGACACCACCCAATCAGTTATACCATGTCCCTGCTACCCCACACCCCACCCTATCAGTTATACCATGTCCCCGCTACCCCACACCCAACCCTATCAGTTATACCATGTCCCTGCTACACCACACCCCACCCTATCAGTTATACCATGTCCCCGCTACCCAAGACACCCCAGCCTATCAGTTATACCATGTCCCTGCTACCCCACACCTCACCCTATCAGTTATACCATGTCCCCGCTACCCCAGACACCCCACCCTATCAGTTATACCATGTCCCCGCTACCCCACACCCCACCCTATCAGTTATACCATGTCCCCGCTACCCCACACCTCACCCTATCAGTTATACCATGTCCCCGCTACCCCACACCTCACCCTATCAGTTATACCATGTCCCCGCTACCCCACACCTCACCCTATCAGTTATACCATGTCCCCGCTACCCCACACCTCACCCTATCAGTTATACCATGTCCCCGCTACCCCACACACCACCCTATCAGTTATACCATGTCCCCGCTACCCCACACACCACCCTATCAGTTATACCATGTCCCCGCTACCCAAGACACCACCCTATCAGTTATACCATGTCCCTGCTACCCCACACCTCACCCTATCAGTTATACCATGTCCCCGCTACCCCACACACCACCCTATCAGTTATACCATGTCCCTGCTACCCCACACACCACCCTATCAGTTATACCATGTCCCCGCTACCCCACACACCACCCTATCAGTTATACCATGTCCCCGCTACCCAAGACACCACCCTATCAGTTATACCATGTCCCTGCTACCCCACACCTCACCCTATCAGTTATACCATGTCCCCGCTACCCCACACCTCACCCTATCAGTTATACCATGTCCCCGCTACCCCACACACCACCCTATCAGTTATACCATGTCCCCGCTACCCAAGACACCACCCTATCAGTTATACCATGTCCCTGCTACCCCACACCCCACCCTATCAGTTATACTATGTCCCCGCTACCGAAGACACCACCCTATCAGTTATACCATGTCCCTGCTACCCCACACCTCACCCTATCAGTTATACCATGTCCCCGCTACCGAAGACACCACCCTATCAGTTATACCATGTCTCCGCTACCCCAGACACCACCCTATCATTTATACCATGTCCCTGCTACCCCACACCCCACCCTATCAGTTATACCATGTCCCCGCTACCCAAGACACCACCCTATCAGTTATACCATGTCCCTGCTACCCCACACACCACCCTATCAGTTATACCATGTCCCCGCTACCCCACACACCACCCTATCAGTTATACCTTGTCTCTGCTACCCCGCATCCCACCCTATCAGTTATACCATGTCCACGCTACCCCAGACACCCCACCCTATCAGTTGTACAGTGTCCCCGCTACCCGAGACACCACCCTATCAGTTATACCATGTCCTTGCTACCCCAGACACCACCCTATCAGTTATACCATGTCCCCGCTACCCCACACACCACCCTATCAGTTATACAGTCTCCCCGCTACCCCAGACACCACCCTATCAGTGATACCATGTCCCCGCTACCCCAGACACCACCCTATCAGTGATACAGTGTCCCCGCTACCCCACACACCACCCTATCAGTTATACCATGTCCCCGCTACCCGAGACACCCCACCCTATCAGTTATACCATGTCCCCGCTACCCCAGACACCCCACCCTATCAGTTATACCATGTCCCCGCTACCCCACACACCACCCTATCAGTTATACCATGTCCCCGCTACCCCACACACCACCCTATCAGTGATACAGTGTTCCCGCTACCCCACACACCACCCTATCAGTGATACAGTGTCCCCGCTACCCCAGACACCCCACCCTATCAGTTATACCATGTCCACGCTACCCCACACACCACCCCACTTATCTCTGCTACCCCAGACACCCCATGCCACATTGGTTCTGATCAAGTGTCTTTGTTTGTCAGCACCATACCCATGGTTACGCTGGCTTTGCTCCCATACTGAGCTGACGCCCCTTGATAAAACCGAAATACAAAATCGATCATGCAATTGTAAAATCTAGAACCATAAACATCCAACGATTAACTTTTAACATGCAACATTAGTTATTCTGTTGGCCCTGTCAGCTGAATTGAGCAGCTAAGAGCAGGAAGAAACCTGCTTTCGTTAAATAAATAAAAACCAGCAACAGGGAAGTGTTCTGTTCTATAATCCAGTATTAATTACTGTGTGTATTGAACTATATCGCATTGTGACTGATATGTTAACGTTGTTACGTTTTATTAACATCATGAATCCCATATTACAATCTATTCTCAATTTGTTAGCGATTTAATCTGACAGTAAACTTATCAAACTATTTTTCCTATAATTTATGATAGTATTGGAGATGTTATCTAACTGGTACACAGCAAAAACCGTTAATTTTTTAAACCCGCTGTCTAGATAAATACGTTTTGGGAACGACTCAATGTGACCCATGGACACATGTGCCCCTCCCCTTCATTCCTCACTTAGAAGTCGAATTAAATTAATGATACATCACATTACATTTACATACAATACATTTACAGTTTTTTATTCTGCGAGAAACTCTGTTCTGTGATATCATCCGCTGTCAGTTCAGGTAAATCTCGCCATTTAATAGCGTCTCCTTGTCAAACCGGTTTGATAGTGGCAGTTACATTTACACCATAAGATAGGAAATTTGATACCAGTATGTGCGACATATAGGCGTAGTGTTTACAGTCGGAGATTGACTCAGTTCCTCTCGAGCGCAATTCTGGTACAACCTTAATTTTTCAGATCTTATGAAAATGTGCGTCAGAAAAATAACTCCACATCCACCGGGTTGAGGATGTGTGCTGATTTTGCATTAACTGCGGAACTCGACCTGTCATCATGATGTATGACAGTGTTCTAAACGACATAGTGTCATTCAATCTTTGATTCTGAAGCCGGAAATCATAGAATCAAGAGTCGAATAATAAAATAGACGGCGTTATATATCAAACGTAAATGGAACGAATTCACATTTTACGACATCTCGCGTCTTTTTTATGGCAAAGAAGAAAACTATGACGTCACTGCATTGTAACCTCGTTGTGTAACGTCATAGCCACATTATTGTGATTCGATAATCTGTAAATTGAAACAAAAACATCTCCTCTTCAGTTAAGTGTCAATTTATTATATTAAATCATTGGAATAATTATATACTGCTCAGCGTCTTAATGGGCTTAAATGGTCATTGTCAGCAGTGATGTATTCTGTTTGTTGCAGAAGGTGCTAGTCGTCTACGCCGACAATAAGCCAAGAAAATTCCGAATTGAAAATGTCGTAAGTATTTGCATTCAGTCGAAAGACACAGTCGGATAATACTTGAGAGATTGGTTGCACAGTGGGTGGTGAGTTGTTTGTTGTTGTCGGGGTTCTAGTGCCAAATTACAAACATGATAAATTAGTAGTGTCTAGTAGTGTTTTTGTGTGAGACTCGCTGATGTCTTCACCGCCATCTCTTGGTTATCTGTGTGATACTCGCTGATGTCTTCACCGTCATCTCTGGGTTGTCTGTGTGAGACTCGCTGATGTCTTCACCGTCATCTCTGGGTTGTCTGTGTGAGACTCGCTGATGTCTTCACCGTCATCTCTGGGTTGTCTGTGTGAGACTCGCTGATGTATTAACCGTCATCTCAGGGTTGTTTGTGTGAGACTCGCTGATGTCTTCACCGTCATCTCTGGGTTGTCTGTGTGAGACTCGCTGATGTATTCACCGTCATCTCTGGGTTGTCTGTGTGTGACTCGCTGATGTCTTCACCGCCATCTCTGGGTTATCTGTGTGAGACTCACTGATGTCTTCACCGCCATATCTGGGTTATCTGTGTGAGACTTGCTGATGTCAACACCGTCATCTCTTGTCTGTGTGCGTGCATCTACCGATCGTTTCCGTCCACACGTGTATTTTGCAGTCGATTCATAAACACGTTATACCTTTACTATAACGCAGTACCTCAATCTCTGGCAAAGCTTATAACTGAAACATTGTTCTTTAGAATCTCACACACTAATTCTTTTGGTCTGAGAAGGATATTTTTTATCAGTGTTAATATATTCGAAGTACATCAGGAGGTGTATGATGTATTGGGTAATTAAATAAAGCCAGAGCTTAGTTCAGAATGTGATGTCTATATCTTTGTGTATTATACGTTATGTAATGTATTAGATTGTTCCAAAGCTGTTTTCACGCCCAACTATTATTGGATTACGACATATACAAAGGTGGGGTGTAGGTCAGATGACGCAGTGCAACTCCCAGTTAAGCATCATTTTAGAGTTAAATAAAGATGTATGGTACTGTTCACTAGCAAATCATTAATGTCCTATTTTACATCTTTTTTTTTACCACTTTACCGGTTAATTTGACCATTTGGTAATCGTTCAGGGGACATTGTGGATGTTCCAATAATAATGCGTTGTCAATCCGAAATTAAACCTCCCAAACCACCCAGAATATTAAATGGTCGGCCCCAAGGAAACATCAATACATTGAACTCTCTGGAGCGTTTGAGTGTGTATGTGGCTTCAGTGTTGGGGATCGAACCAGGTCCATGTCTTTCTGTAACCGTGTACTCATATTCTTCTTGTGTAAAGATTTTGTGAAACCACTCACAACACATAAACTCACAAGCATACATATAGTTTGTTTTTTGTTTAACGCCGCACTCAGCAATATTCCAGCATTATGACGGAGGTCTGTAAATGATCGAATCTGGACCAGACAATCCAGTAATTGATATCAAGAGCATCGATCCACGCAATATGGATACGTTGACATATTGACAGACAGACAGACAGACAGACAGACAGACAGATAGATAGATAGATAGATAGATAGATAGATAATTATAAGTATATTTTAGGCCAAATCATTGACGCTGATTGCCTTGATGCTTATCTTATCTTTCTGTTGACTTTCAGCAAGGACAATATTGCTTGGAGAGTAATCATGAAGTCGTATGCAGCACGGTGGAAGAATTACTGCACTATTACTATACCACGTGTCTACCTCATTATAACGTGTACCTGACAACTCCTTTTCAACTTCACCCAAGGTTTAGTTCAGACATGATGTGGTAATGCCGAACTGGATTTGGTGTCATAGGGTAAATATTTGTGACCATTCCAAAGACTCGCCCGGAAATGTACCGGAGTTCAGTCCCACGTTCGTGCATGGTGACTGTGATTGTCCCACAGTGAGGTAACAGGATATGGTTATACATATCCATTATCCGGGCACTTTTATGAAGTTTACCAGCCCTCGTCGTGGAAACGAAGAAATATTCATTCCATATTTAGGATTGTCCTTAGTTCTCATTGGCCCTGAATGTGTATATGGATGAAGTTTATGTGGACTCAGATGATTGTGGATGAACTAGTGAATTATTGACTCATCAACAATATCTCAGCTATTCGTGACTAAGATGAGTGAGCGCGTTGAGTTCAACGCCGCTTTGAACACTTATGGTATGGGGTGCTGGCGTCATGTGGGAGAAAAGGCCACAGATAAGCAGATAATTTTCTATATACGTCTTTGGTGAAACCTAGCACGGGGAGGATTCTGACAGACGGAGGATCATACTTGTGGGGAATCTGGCATTCGAACCTCATTTAGCACGCCACAGGGGGGATGAAGAACCGATGTTTTGTAGTTCCTCGTTTAGCACGCCACAGGGGGGATGAAGAACCGATGTTATGTAGTTCCTCGTTAAGCACGCCACAGGGGGGATGAAGATCCGATGTTAGGTAGTTCCTCGTTAAGCACGCCACAGGGGGGATGAAGATCCGATGTTAGGTAGTTCCTCGTTTAGCACGCCACAGGGGGGATGAAGAACCGATGTTATGTAGTTCGATTGTGAATTATTGTGCTTTTGCATGTGGTCTCATTTAGCTAGCAAAACAAACCATTTTTTTAATCTATGTATGCGTTGTTTTTATTTAAACAAGGTCCTGGCTGCGTGTCAGGATGTTGGTGTAACACTGCATGCAGCAATACTTCAGCTTCATCACGAGGTGGGACATTACACCAAGAATGCGTCACACGTTTCGTAACCATGTCGGGAATCGAACCCGTGTCTTCGGTGTTACGAACCAGTGCTTTAACCACTAGGCCACCCAACTCACCGCATGCGTAAGTTTAGGAGTGTATCAAGACTTTCCTTGAAATCGACGAAATCCTGAATGTACAGCAATCAATCCTGTCAAACGTGTATTTGTTCATGTAGCTGAACCGGACATCCGAGTGGTCTTTTTATGTGCTTTGAAATTCTCGGAAATCACAGAAATTGTGTGTTCATTGGTAGAAGGAAGTTGTCACCGCTTGCCAAGAACACCAAAGTGTATTAATATTAACATTCTGCTTCCTCCCGCCCGACGAACAAACGCTCAATCACAGCTCAACTTGTCTGTCACACAGACCCTGAAACAAATATATCCAATACAGCCCATGCATGTCTATAATATCGGACAAGTCTAGATTACTGCAGTATCAGGAAGAAAGTCCTTTTATTATATTTTATAACTATAATTTAACGACTCTTTTTCTGTAAAATGGTTCATTTCAGAGACTTGATGATAATTGCTATACTTTAAGCCGACTTTGACATCATCTGACAAGACTGTTAGTTATGTGTACCAATCCCACTGAACTGAAGACGGATGCTTCGTCTGTGATAAAGCAATGAGCTCATCAATCTTCCTTGTCATTTTTACCCAGAAATGTAAAATCTCTCTGAAAATGAAGTAAGTCTTTGGGGGTCCTTTTTATTATATTTTGTAACTATAATTAAACAACTGATTTTTTATGTAAAATTATTCATTTCAGAGATCAGATGTAAGTTTACTTGTCAACTTGATGGGGTCATAATTTACCATAGGAATAATCGTCGAGCAGTGAATGTTACCAAAAGGATTATCACAGTTATTTTTTTTCTCACAATTCATCTTTGTATTGTTAGAAGAGCAGAGTATAATACTGTTTCTTCAAGGGCTGGCTGTGGTATTATTAATATTAAAAAGAGATATATGTCAGGTGTTATATTAACAGACCTATATATGAGGTCGTGTGTAGTAGGCGACGTATGTTTCACCACTGAATCTTTCGCTTCATGTAGTGGAGCGCGACACGGTTGTATGCTGAGCCTGTAGGTATTTATGTACTTTTTATATAAACTTGTATGTAAACTTATTAACGATTCTGTTATGATCCTGGTAACGTTTTGATGCTGTCGCTTAAAGCTTATGTAATACGTGTCGATGACTTTATCTGTCACTGTTCTTTGCGAGTTATCGCGTAGCTATCTTATATAGATATATAAAGGTGTTCCAGTGCCGCTATATAGGTATATATAAGATAGCTACGCGATAAATCACAAAGAACAATGAAGAACGAATCGTGTTTTTTTCACGATAAAACATTGTTCTCTCATGACGTCATTTCTGGAGATTCGAACACGCGCTCGTAACTTGATGACGTCGTAAATTGGACTACGTTATTTTTTAGAGGTAGGTAACTACTGAGTTCCCTGTAGATGTAGTTGGCCAAGGTGTTCCGATTCTGCTATATACTCATATATAGGTGTTCCTATGCCGCTATATAGGTATATATAAGATAGCTACGACATAAATCACAATGAAGAACGAAGCGAGGTTTTTTTCATGATAAAACATTGTTCTATCATGACGTCATTTCTGGAGATTCGAACATGCACTCGCAACTTGACGTATATTGGAGGACGTTATTTTTGAGAGGGGAGTGTCTAGTGAGACGTTCACCATAGATGTAGCTGGGCAACGCAGATAAACGCAACGACCAAACGCATCAGGGGGGTATCTTAATGACAATCGGTATTGGCAGGAAAGGTAATCGACGTGAGGTTTGTGAGAATATGCGGGAAATTCCAACCTGTGCATAAAATGTACCGGATTCTATTGAGGGAGTCATCATTATTTGAAAACGTGTTAATGTTTCTAATGCTTGTACAGTTTATCACCATCCTTACAGTGGCTGTACATAATATTGCTATCTCATATAAGAAATAAACGACTCGTGGTCATACCGTACAATAAAACACTGCAGAGAGAACAAACCACTCCGGGCCGCTCCCGCTATGATTTATTCTCCCTGCAGTGTTTTATTGTACGATAAACAACTCCCACTTGTCGTATATTTCTTAAATAAAGGTGTTCCTATTCTACTATATAGATATATAAAGGTGTTCCTTTGCCGCTATATACATGTATGTATCTAAAGGTGTTCCTATGCTTCTATATAGGTATATTTCAAGGTGTTCCTATGTTTCTATGTAGGTATATAAAGGTGTTCCTTTGCTGCTATATAGGTATAAAAAGGTGTTCCTATGCTTCTATATAGGTATATAAAGGTGTTCCTATGCTTCTATATAGGTATATAAAGGTGTTCCTTTGCTTCTATATAGGTATATAAAGGTGTTCCTATTCCGCTATATAGGTATATAAAGGTGTTCCTATTCCGTTATATAGGTATATAAAGGTGTTCCTATTCCGCTATATAGGTATATAAAGGTGTTCCTATTCCGCTATATAGGTATATAAAGGTGTTCCTATTCCGCTATATAGGTATATAAAGGTGCTGTAATATATTGTCATTGTAGCGTCAAGGCGAAACTTTATTCAACAAAGATAACGGTCGGCACAATAGCAATAATCTAAAATATAAGAATAAAATGACTTGGTTGGTCATCTGACGAACAAATCGACGGCTGAGGAAATAGTTCCTCGTCAATAATTAGGTTCTAATACGCGGGGCGGTGCAAATGGTACACACTATCCGGGAGCATTTGACAACCGCAGCCATCATAACATACGTGCTCTCGTTCAGACTATATGTCACAAAATGGGCCAATGACGGCTACATTATTATTTCTTTCTTTTTTATTTATACTACTCAAAAGAAGCTAAAGAACACCCGAGTTTTTTATGACTATGACTATGTGGTGTCAACTGAACACATATACGATTGAACATTGTTAAATAAAAAAATCATGTAAATGTGTGTGTGTGTGTGTGTGTGTGTGTGTGTGTGTGTGTGTGCGTGTGTGTGTGTGAGGAAGGGGAGGGGGTCAACAAATGTTACACGTATCATTTAAAAAACATATTTATTTTTGGGGGATGAGGGGGGTGGATGTTGCATAAAACGAGCCCCTATAATAAATTACCAGCTCCTTAGACTAATACCATGTGTAGATATTAGTAAGTAGTACATAACCTTGACCAATGCATTTGTATCATATTATGTCATTAGAAAAGGGAGTCTTGAACGGGTTTGTCAAATAAATAGAACATCACCTTAACCATAGTACATGGGCCGCGGGCCTAACATCCATTAGAAAACTCCTGTGACGTCATGTATTATTTTCGGAGGCTTCTGAAACTTGTATACTGACCTCTGACCTCAACTGTACTCAAAGAAGGAAGGAAGTCCACGTCACCTTTGATGATCAGTTGCAGTAGGTCATTTTTACAAACTTCACAATACATCTGTAGCTCAGTTGCAGTAGGTCATTTTTACAAACTTCACATTACACCTGTAGCTCAGTTGCAGTAGGTCATTTTTACAAACATCACATTACACCTGTAGCTCAGTTGCAGTAGGTCATTTTTACAAACTTCACATTACACCTGTAGCTCAGTTGCAGTAGGTTATTTTTACAAACTTCACATTACACCTGTAGCTCAGTTGCAGTAGGTTATTTTTACAAACTTCACATTACACCTGTAGCTCAGTTGCAGTAGGTTATTTTTACAAACTTCACATTACACCTGTAGCTCAGTTGCAGTAGGTTATTTTTACAAACTTCACATTACACCTGTAGGTCAGTTGCAGTAGGTTATTTTTACAAACTTCACATTACACCTGTAGGTCAGTTGCAGTGGGTTATTTTTATAAACTTCTGTTTATGCACAATGAAATGGTATTTTTTTAAACAGGAACACAGATAGTTTATGTAAACACTCTACGTTCGGATGGCAAAGTTCACTGAATGATGAGACTGTTTCCTTCCTGATAACGCCAATACAGTGAGTGATTGAGTGATTAAACGCCGCTCTGGACAGCATATCCGTATTTCAGTTACCCGTCAAGATCCGACCGGGTTAGAATAGGTCTTCAGCAACTATGTTTGTCGAAAGACGCGACTATGCTTGTCACAAATGGTCAGGCTCGCTGACTTGATTGATACATGTCATCGTATCTCAATTGCGTGGATCGATGCTCATGGTATCAACTACTGGATTATCTGGTCAAGACTCGATTATTTACAGACCGACATCATACAACTGAAATATTACTGAGTGCGGCGTTAAACAACAAACAAACAGTATTTCAGTTATATCACGGCGTGACAGTCCCGAAGTGATGCAGATCTCAGACGTTTGCCACTTTGGGGAAACCCAAGAGCACGGGTACATTGTGCAAACAAACTTAGAAACATAATGAGGGAGAGCCGTGACTGCAAACACGGGTTTCTAGCACACCTGAGGGACACAACTCTTCACTTCAGGACAAGGACACAGTGTCCCTGGTATACATACGTATTGCGTAGCGCTGGATGCCAACTGTGAACATTTATTCTGAAACATCGACCTCACTTTGGAGGTAAACGTTCTGTGTTTTCAAGTTAGAGCTAAGTCACCTGTAGATTATCCGCGCTAAATTGAATCATATATTAGTATACATAAAATCGTTTAAAAAATGCCTGCCGACGATGACCGAAGAAGTGTTCTATTATTATCTCCAGGGGTGATGCGGCCATCAAGTTGGCTGTTTCAATCACCTCTGATTAACCAATCAGAATCAATTTCCCAAATTCATGGTAGAATGATAACTCAACTCGCTATCGAATTCCTCAACCCATAGAGATTATTGGGTACAGCCTGTTTCAGCATGAGCACAATGCACGTTTTAGGCTTGATATACGAATAAGATATTTACGATTCGAAACGATTTCCTCTATGTTTTGAAATCAATAGAGATTATTAGTACAGCCTGTTTCAGCATGAGCACAATACACGTTTAACGCCTGATATACGAATATGATATTCACGATTCGAAAGCAACCACGAGGGTAATAAACATATTTATCATACAATGTCATATATAATCATCAACATTTAAGATCGGTATTTATCACTGAAGTAACTTGAGGAAGTGCGTTTGAATATAACATGTTAGAGTGAATCGCCAAATGATATGAAGCCATGTGTATGAAACACCCACATATCGATGAATATACATCTCAATGTATAGGGAACGTTTGGTAAAAGTATACATTGACATATTGATATATACGAGGATGTTGATTCATGGATCTTATTGAAAGTATATAAGTTTCTGTAGAGTGACCTTCATATGTATACATTATAAGTAGTCAAACGATCCCTCGGGGCATAGGGAGTGATGTGCCCTGTGTGTGAGCCTATAGGTACATAGTCTCACCCAGGGTACATCACACAATAAACCCCAAGGGATCGGTTGACAACGAATTTATCTTACCGACACTAATTCATACAGGTCCGGAACATATATCCGCAGTTTCACTAGCAATAGCAGACGACGCAACCTAACCGAGTTACTTCCCTTTACCCAATGCATTCAGATAAATATCGGTTTATTTCAACTCAAAGATACTTATCCGTCATTTTGTCTCTATCTATATGTATCAAATTCAAATGTCAAAATGACTTCATGTAAAGGATAAAACACGCCCCCGAGGATTGTATTTAAAAATGAAAACATTAGGCATGGACAAACCTGAGGGTCGAAGTGTTCTGATCCCGAGCGTTTATGTTTTTAATCAAACTTGTGGGACAGTGTTATGTCTGCCCTAAACACCGAAAGAAATACGTGAAACAACATTTATGAATAATTTTATGTGTATAACACACTGTCGATAAACCTCAAGAAACGGACGTACAATATCTATTGTTGGTCTACATGTTCCTGAAAAAGATTCTTAAAAGCATTGCGGTTTACAAGTGCCATACCAAGGTTGCAGGTTCGATCCCACAGAATATGAATAACATTGTCGTTGGATTTTCAAGTCATCATTTGGCACATTTCGTTAAGTTAACATTGTAATGCGTGTTATGTAGTGTTTAAATTCAAAATGGATCTCTAACGGGGGATATTCTATAGAATATCCCAGGGACAGCGGGATATACTGTAGAAATGTCCCCCTAAGATGCTATTCTATAAACTGAAGGTCCTGCAGAAACAGTAAGATGACGTCACTAGAGGTTTATAAACGTCCAGTAATCTTAAGGGCAACGTTAACTCCATTTCACCTAACCTCACTCGTCAGTATATGTTATATTTTTCACACCTCACCTCGTCAGAATACGTCAATACATTTATCTCAACTCACCTTAGTATTATCTTGATATATGTATGTACACAATTCATTTATAACAGAAATATGGCACACAACTAGTCCATGAAGCCATACTGTTTTACTTATCATAAACAAGATTATGATTTTTGTGTTAAGGTATACACTTTAACACCGGCGTGCATACTGTGTACATCCGAGTAGGAAATATACTGAAGTCATTTCTTAACTATAATGCGAAATATTATACACCACAGCAGTACTCTATTGCTATATATTATGACATGGATACAGCGCATATCATTCACAGGTATCCCTCACTGAAGTAACCGCAGGGATCTTTCAACATCGTGTGAACGGTGGGCGTCACGGAAATCAAAGTGAAAGGGGTAAACATTCAATAAGGGGATTACACTAATTCACCTGATTTTAGTATAAATTTGTATTAATTAATTTCTAAACGTAACATTTTTTAGTCGCAACGGCTATTTCCAACAGCACGTCTTTTTCGAACAGAGAGCGCTTTGGTTCCTTCTGGTTTTGGTTTTTAAACCTTATATCGGGTTTTGAAACGGGCCTTTCAAAACCTAAGGTTTGATATGATAAACGGAATAGTTTTCTTGATTCTGCAAGGAGCCTACTTTATTATACACTCAATCGACGATAGGTTTAAAAGACTTACAACTATTGTATCTTGAACTGTGCTTACTGTGAATGTTTAATGTATGTCTTTTTGGTTGATAGGATATTGGCTGACCCTTATTATACGAGTTGAACGCACACATACAGAACAACATGATGCCTGATGAATTACCAGCTGTAACACACATCTGGACAACTGGCGAAATATGTCAATCCCAAACAAAACAGACACAATGTATCCGATAAAGTAAGAAAATATTTTATTTTTCAAAAATAGGAAACGTATTTGCACTTCAGCACATCATATGTACAACAAAAGATCACACATTCGACTCTTTGCAAATAAGTATTTACATCAAATTGTCATTAACATCTAAGCAGAATAAAAATTGGTAAAATATTAAAATATTGTATACAATTTTTTAAAAAACATGGAAATAGCACTTTGACTAAACTGTGTAGGTACAGTTGATTTCATGAATTTGACTTTCTTGCCAATTGAGACATTTTATTATTAACAATCATATTAGTGCTAATTTTGCAGCACTTTTACAGCGAAGTATAACCAAAGGATTCAATGTACACGTGCACCGCACGTGCTGATACACAAGTAGAATTCTTTAAGGACGCCTTCTCGAAACACCACATTTTTATTTCCTTGTCATCAGAGTGTTATTAAATAAATAGTAACCAAATTATCTTGACTTTTCTAGAGTGCTTCTTAACATTCACGAGTCTCTTACAATTTCAAGTAGTATTCTTGTTACGTATATTCGAGAAATTAATTGCAAATATTAGAAAAGACACGTAATGGAAACTGATCGAATATTCAAGAAGATATTTTGTGAAAAAAAAGATAGCATACAAGATTACATATTTTTCTCTCGTGCAGGAGACAGTATGAAGACTAGGCAGACAGGATCAACGGTATGATTTTAACATTTTTATTCTTTCACCTCGAATAAAATTCCTGTCCAATATGAGACAGCAGCTTCTAACACAGAGTGACTCTTAAAGATATTCTAGTTTAAGTAGCTCAACAACTGTGGATCAGCAGACTTGAAGGCTTCAGACAGGGCAAACGGCATCAATAATACCATCACAATGTTGGTTCTCTGTCCATACATGATCTCTCTATATATCTCGTCAACAAACACTCCATACTAACACATTATTCCTGAGGTCTGGTTACCAAGGTCTTGGCTTCAGGAATGAACAAAGGGAATGTTTCCATAAGGATGTATGTGTAAGGTCATTATTTGGGCAGGCATAAGGGAAAAGAACATATTAAATGTAACATTATCCTCATGAGGCGAATCTGATATATATTGTTTTCATCCTTGATGGGGGGTCAGTTTTGCATAAACAGGCTTAGAAATGTTTGCTCGAAGCCAAGCATGCATATTATGCATAATCTTATTGCAAGCCAATACTTTATACACTAAACCACACGTTTATGTGTCTTCTTTTGATTTCATTCTCTGCATATATATCGATGGTTAAAATCTCCTATTTGACATACAATACAGAAATGAACAGAATACCAATCTCTGATGCCTTTTGTTCATAGTCGAATCATTAGAGTCATGTTTTAGCATCTGAAGATTGGAATGTAAAATAGGAAAAATTAAATAATTATACTTGTTTTCATACTGATCTTTCAAACCTGACTTTAAAAATGGTAATTAAGAATGACATAATTTTGAAAAAGAATTGTAGAATATTATTTCATCACACAGCACAATTTTAGCAAACACAATCATCAATTAATTTGGCGTTGCTACAGGATTTTTGCTTTCCCAAATTCGAAAAAAATACCTTTATGTAAATTACAATGACAAATTGTATTGTATTTTAGTGTGAAAGACTGAATTTTCTGAAGTTGAGAAAAGTGATATTTTCATTGCAGTGAACATAACGCTTGACATTTTCAAATGCAGTGAACATAACACTTTGACGGAACTATTTTCATACAAGAGTTACCTGCCCGCAAATTGTCTCCCTTTATCGTCAGTGTTTAGCCTGTACACAAATGTTGACTTCCTTTTTACGTTACTTCTACATTGACAAGGCAAAATAATTACAGATGGTCATTTATGGAGTTATATCGGTTGTTGCCGTTTGTTTTTTTCTTGAAAATGTTTCGTTATAAACTGTAAATTTCTCTTTTAACTCGTCAATCGACGTTCGTTTCGCCAAAGACGTATATAGTATATACTATATACGTCTTTGGTTTCGCAAAGCGGCGCTTTTGTTCCTTGACCAGCGTGTATTCTCTCGCTTCCAACAGCGGTTTCGTAGATTTCAAGAATATTGTTTGTTTAAGTTGATTTTGTATGTAATTTTATCTAAATAAATGATAAGAACTTTCGTGACCTGAAGTATATTTTGTTACTTTTGTTTATATATTTTAAGATTTTGCAAACACGGAACTACCTTTTAAGTCGCAAATACAAGGGGTTGTGAAACGTCACCGTGTGTTAGGTAGGGAGAATTTATGTTTCAAGGTTTTACTGTATTAATGAAATCCGGTAAATAACTACACAATAGGATATCATAAATAGGATATTTCATGTCTCGTGAAATATCATGTTTATCACATCAAATGACGGGGAAAGGAGATTCTTTCACGAGTACACTTGAAATAACCTCTATATATCAATGCATAAAACATGACGTATTTTGTATACGCCTGCGTACCTAACTGGCATTCAACGCAAATTGGTAAGACACATAATTAATTATAAACCCCTTAATCTGGGCGTTTACTGGTTTTGAAAATCAATATATACACATATCGTGTCCAGTTAACTCTATCACAGCACTTAATGACAAAATAACGATAACGAACACTGTGAGATATATGATGTTTTGCAACAGGTGTTCACCCATTAAGTAGTTGTTTAAGCTTCATACTGTGCCGACAAGAACTGTTATAATCATTGAAATTTCTCACTACAAACGTCACACCAATGCACACAAGGACACAAGGGCCACACCATGTATTTCAATGAACACATTTCGATATAGTGTGGTATTGTCACTTCGTTTTTACAACAGTAAAGTATTATCGAACCAAACAGTTGGGCAGTTGGATTAAAATGTTTTTCACTCGGATGTATGTGGGGAGCCTTCCCTGGTCAATGACAATTTCAAAAACTAATTTGATATTCAAGTTTGAAGTTCTTCGTTTTGTAAAAAACATTCCTGTTTTTTTCAAAGGGTGGGACACTTTTTCGAGTCCTTAAATGCTCCGACACGAACAATTGTGAGATTTGCGAGTGTTCGAATTTTCACAGGTTCTTACCAAGAAGCAGCACAATGACATTTCTACAAATCAAATATAACGGTATCCGAGGTTTCCTGTTAGAGACAACGGGGATGTTTTCTAAACTTGTGTCGTTTATAATGAATAATATCCTATAATGTGGATGCAGGAAATAACTACAGTTATCAGAAAAGGAAAAAGTTTACATATGTATGATTATATATCATGACTGTATGTATATATGTTAATCTCATCATGTGCTTCGGTCAACGGCTTGCAATGCCCTCTGCTGATACAAGTTGGCAGCTGATAACTTACAACTATTTACAAATGTGTGTGATGAGGAGAGTTAAGTACACCCTAACGTCGTCTTACATCTACGGAGACAGGGTCCGATCTGTGGGCACTGGGGCATGAGGTCAGCCCGTTGTCTGTGATGTATTTCGTCATGTCCAGATATCTGAAATTAACAAACATATGTTTGACGTTGAAATGATAAAATTGTCGATGGCCTGCTGAACTTCAAACTTTGAAAATATGTGTGTGCTGACTAATGCCGATTTTATGGTGCTAGCCCACTGGGATACCATGCCTCACGGTTAATGTATTTAATGATTTTAACTATGCACATATAGACTGTTCTTCTGCATAGTCTGATTGTTATAATGTAGAGTGTATTTTGATTGTTTTAATGTAGACTGTATTTTGATCGTTATTATGTAGACGTAGATGGTTATTCTGTTTATTTTGATTGTTAGTATGTAGACTGTATTTTGATTGTTAAAATGTAGACGTTGGTGGTTATTCTGTATATTTTGATTGTTATTATGTTGGTATGGAGAGTATTATGTAGATAGTGATTGTCATCATGCATGGTGATGAGGCAACATCCACAATGTGGGTCACAGCATACTTACTGTTTTCCAACAATCATCTGAGAAATGCCTCCAGAGAATGGTGACATGCTGTCGTCCTCGTCCTGCCCGCCGATAGTGACGGTGTATGGAGTGTTGGAGTCACCGCCACCAAATAACCAACCACCCCCATAGCTGATGGACGCTTCCTTGTCCAAGTACTTCACTGTCAGTGTGCTGCAAAATGAAGATGGATAGGGATTTCAAATAATGATTTTTCTTAAGTCTTAACTGGATAACTTCTTAATTCTGTAAACAAATGCCCAGCGCCAGGGAGAGTAACAACAAGTACAATCTTTTTTTAGCGTCTTTTGGTATGACGCGATCGGGGATCGAACTCCCGCCCTTCCGCTCTCTGGGAAAAAACGCTCTACCAACACATGCCGGAGGCGGTCTACAATATCTTTGAATCGCCAAAAGGGTTTATGAAATGATCATGCACGATGTATAAGTACTTGTGAAAGAACAAAAAATCCACACAGAAATTGGAGCAATACATTATGACAATGTCAAGTGACCCGTGAAGATCCGGGTTAGAACACGTCTTCCGCAACCAGTGTTTGCTGAAAAAGACGACTGTGCTTGTCGTAAGAGGCGACTTTGTCGTCCTCGCTGACTTGGTTGAAGCATGTCATCGTATCCCAATTGCGGGGATCGATGCTCATGATGTCAATCATTGGATTGTCTGGTCCAGACTTGATTAATTACAGACCGCTGTAATATAGCTGAAATATTGCTGAGTGCGGCGTTAAACAACAAACAAAGAAACAAACAAACAAAAATTAAGAAATGTTGCCAACCTGTCCTTGTCTGTTATTGTGATCACCACAAACATATTGTGATCATTCTTCGCATAGTCCAGTTGACCGTCGTAGGATTTCTTAGACTCTACAATGGCGATTCCATTTTCTTCCATCGAAATAATGGCATTGAACTTCTGCAAGAAAATGTACTTCCTAATTACAATGCACGTTCATGAATTCCTGATCGCAACAAAAAACCATAACTCCAGCTTTAGTAAGGAAAGATTTGACTTCAATTGGTAACTAACCTAACGTTCTGTAAAAGCAAGAGCTAGCTTCATCCAATACCAATACAGAAAGTATCTAAGGTCAGTCTACAGAAGCAATTAAATAAGCATAATTATATATCAAATATCAAATATATAGAACTAAAACAACCCGAGGTACGCTGAATACTCATTTACATAGATGGATATTCTTCAAAGCATATTACTATAGAATATAAAGGAATATTATTAATGAAACATGTGTCAGTAATTGTCTAGCACACACAACTTGTTATATATACTACTCAACGTTTTCTAGGGATATGCCAATAGTATTTGGCGAGTCTTACGGTGGTGAAGCGGTGCACGGAATGATCACTTTTCACACAGATGAGGATGGTTAAACATGTATAATCAGGCGAAATAGCTACATTAAACTGTATTTTAATATCATGTCATGTCATCTCATTGACGATGATATTATAAGAAGAAACTGCGTTTCTACAAAAAGTCAACCTTATTCGTCGTTTTGGGAAGTAACGTCAGTATCCTTGCAAAAGTTGAGTAGTATACCATAAGTACAACAGAGATGCAAAGGGTTTCCATGCCAAACTATCACCAAAAGTCCTTCCTATGAACCAAATTAACACATAAAAACCGTTTCATTATTTTCCGGAAAGAAAACAAAATCAAGGTGACAATGTGAGAGAACATAGTTGTTGACTAAAGCGCCATGTAAATACTTTTCGAAAAATGTTCTTAATGTTACGTTTCATACATTATTCAGTGTTAACTTGAACTGCATTATAGTGAAATACTTCCGTCACTTGAATTATGAATTTCTCATTTGTCAGAATCTACGTCACACTCGATGTTGTCATACTGACATCGGTTTTGTTGATATTCTCCTATATTATTTTTTGTGCAAAGACGCTTGTAGTTATCGAAAGAATTAACAGCACTGAAAAGATGACAGTTAATAGCGATAACAGGATTTGAAGTAATGTGATGGAGAAGAAGTACTGAAATGAACTCTCAGCATACTAGATAGGAGATTTAGTACATGCGACTTTATATTACGTTATCTGAAAACATGTGACGGAGATCATGAGTACTGGTGAAAATATTTACAGAATTATCTCCCATGTTCAATCATTATTTGAATGATCATCGCCAAAGAACCAAAGGGAGATAACTCGCTATTGCACAATGCAAGAATATTCACACGTGACTTTCATGCACCGGGTAACACTATACTGGCCAATGCTACCTAAAAAATCTCATTTTAAAACATTAAATTTGCAGGTTTTACGATTATCAGAAAAAATGGCAATTTTTTTTAAAAAGACACCTTGAAATTATCATACACGTATCAAATCTAGAAATCAATTCTTGTTCTAAGCCACTTTACCAGTCAAAACCCAAAGGGAAGATCACATATGCAAATACTTGTCTATGTATATCTGTGTAGGAAAGTAAAACCTGTTAATTTTTCATACCTTTGAAAACCACGCGAGACAATACTAACCCTTTTCGTTTGAACAAACGCACCCAATACGTTAAAAAGCTTGTAATTAACGCGCGTATCATAAGTTTCAAAAACACCTTTTAACTTATCGGTTGCGTTTGTTTGCTAACGTCGCATACAACTAGTTCTATACAACTGTGTCGAGTGCTACAAGTCGTGTCACCTTAGGCACGTCCTCCTCATCATAATAAGCCTGTTAAAATCAAGCAAGGCATTACAAGAGAGAAACTACAAGCGACTGTGTCGGAGGCGGTCCACCCTCATGGATCTCATGAGTTGCATGCTCAACATATACTTGGATTAAACATATACTGGAGCTGCGTTTTATAACAACAAAATGAAAATAATGTCAAATCACTTTAAACAAGAAAGCAAAATACAAACAACATGTAAAACACTTAAATGTGTACCTTGTTGCAAACAAGAGTCATCAGAAAGATGACATATGCCCCCGGCAGCTGTCTGTAAAGTAACCACTAGTAAATGTGCAATTCTCTTTGTAATGAGTCAACAGTTGAATGTTCTTTAAGAAGCATACATTGTTTACCCACTGAATGGTTTTCGAATTCTGGCCCGGAAACGAACCCGTTCCCCAATGGAGTCTAGGTCCAACTTCTTTCCATAAAAATTGTAAAAAAAAATAAAATCGTAAAAGATATTTTATCAAAAGGCACCACTTCAGTATGTGCCTGATAGCTTTGCCAAGTTTCGATCAAATACACTGAATGGTTTTCGAATTCTGCCCCTGAAACGAACCCCATCCCCAATTTAGTCTATGTCCAACTTCATTCCATAAAAAAATTTTTTTTTAAAAATTGGAAAAATCCCAAAATATCAAAAGGCACCACTTCAGTATGTGCCTGATAGCTTTGCCAAGTTTCGATCAAATACACTGAATGGTTTTGGAATTCTGCCCCGGAAAAGGAAAGATTACGGACGGACAGACGGACGGACAGACAGACTGGCTGATCGCTATATCCCCCCGCATTATATGCCGGGGGGATAAAAAGGTAAAAAAGTGACTTGGGTATACATTCGAGTGAGTGAGTGAGTATGGTTTTACGCCGCTTTTAGCAATATTCCAGCAATATCACGGCGGGGGACACCGGAAATGGGCTTCACACGGGTATACATTCGAAAGACACCAGGGCCGAAAATCTCGTTTTGATTATATTTTTCCAAGTCATATTGAAAACAGTAGCTGTTTCCCGTCAAGGCAAACAATACATGTTATTTTTCTTATTTCAATATTTTGTACATGTGCCACGTTAATTCCAGTGAAGATGGGGTGTCCAGGTCCCCGTTCCACAAAACGATCTTAGCACGATTGCTATCCTTTACTCTAATATGGACTTTAATGATAGTCGTGGAGCAACAACAGCTTTTGGGAACTGCGCCCAGAAAGAGCACACAATAATTCACCTTTCAGCAAAGCGGAGTTACCCACGTCAACTCGGGAGAACAAGTCATCAATTTTATTAATCTGTATACTTATAAACACCTGTCAGGTTATATTTCCTGATACAGTATCGCTTTCTATCGCTTTGGGGTAAAATACCCGACTGGTTTGTAGCATTGTCAATACATCACGAGTTTGCAGACACTACGTTCCTCCAATACCCGTGAATACATACAGTTGCTTAATGGGCAGTCGCTATTTTTAAACAACGAATCAACCAACGGCCTGGTTAACGTTTCAGCGAGTGCTCTGACCTATGAGCGCTCAGTTTGTGACCTGGCTGAAGGCGCGTCATTTCACCCGGACAGTGAGGACATGTACCAATGCTACTAGATGTCAGATATAGACGCCACATTCATTACTAATTGATGATACATTGCTGATAGCGCAGTGCAGCTTCCTCTCTCATCGTAAAATATTTTGTTGGGAGGCAGCTGAGATTTAAAATAACGTCCGTTCAAGTGAATGGTGACGAATTGGAAAGGACAGTTATAATGCATGTAACAATATGCATTAGTCATACTTGAGTGCAATGTGTATTTAGATATGAAAATGAATAAAAAAATGTCGGTTGTATTTGAGGGACGATAATACTGGTTCGTACAAATTATTCACATTTGCTGTGTCCATAGAAAAGTGATATCTGATACAAAAACATGTTTTTCAACATTGCAACATTCAGTTGTTGTTTTTTATCTTTTCGAGAAAGATGCATAATCTTCATGTTTTGTTGACGTTATTGATAGGAAAAGAGCATGTATTTAAAGAAGAAAGTATAATAGATTTAACGGAGTTTTTGTCACAAATTAAGCAACTGTAATATTGAACTTTCCAGTTATCCACAGTTCGAGACTAGCCAAGTGATGATAGTAGACCAGGGTATTGATAAGGATTCTGCCGGGAATTAGATAATCTTAAAAAATATATTCCACTGAGATGTGAAGCAAAGTGCAGTTTCCTGACAAGCGATCACGTAAGCTGTATACATACATCTCCCTTCTGATACTGTAGTATTGGCCCACGACTTGCACGTGTTGCGACGATAACGACGGCTGCAGCATCCTCCGTCGTTCCATAGGCGATAGGCGAGCTGGTATTGACAAACTGCACACAGCTAAACAAGGGCTGGAAGATAATACACGACAGTGAACGTCAAGGACAGTCGTGCTGTGAACATTACCATGATTCCTAAAGGGAACGTCAAGGACAGTCGTGCTGTGAACATTACCATGATTCCTAAAGGGAACGTCAAGGACAGTCGTGCTGTGAACATTACCATGATTCCTAAAGGGAACGTCAAGGACAGTCGTGCTGTGAACATTACCATTATTCCTAAAGGGAACGTCAAGGACAGTCGTGCTGTGAACATTACCATTATTCCTAAAGGGAACGTCAAGGACAGTCGTGCTGTGAACATTACCATTATTCCTAAAGGGAACGTCAAGGACAGTCGTGCTGTGAACATTACCATGATTCCTAAAGGGAACGTCAAGGACAGTCGTGCTGTGAACATTACCACGATTCCTAAAGGGAACGTCAAGGACAGTCGTGCTGTGAACATTACCATTATTCCTAAAGGGAACGTCAAGGACAGTCGTGCTGTGAACATTACCATTATTCCTAAAGGGAACGTCAAGGACAGTCGTGCTGTGAACATTACCATTATTCCTAAAGGGAACGTCAAGGACAGTCGTGCTGTGAACATTACCATGATTCCTAAAGGGAACGTCAAGGACAGTCGTGCTGTGAACATTACCATGATTCCTAAAGGGAACGTCAAGGACAGTCGTGCTGTGAACATTACCATGATTCCTAAAGGGAACGTCAAGGACAGTCGTGCTGTGAACATTACCATTATTCCTAAAGGGAACGTCAAGGACAGTCGTGCTGTGAACATTACCATTATTCCTAAAGGGAACGTCAAGGACAGCCGTGCTGTGAACATTACCATGATTCCTAAAGGGAACGTCAAGGACAGCCGTGCTGTGAACATTACCATGATTCCTAAAGGGAACGTCAAGGACAGTCGTGCTGTGAACATTACCATGATTCCTAAAGGGAACGCCAAGGACAGTCGTGCTGTGAACATTACCATTATTCCTAAAGGGAACGTCAAGGACAGTCGTGCTGTGAACATTACAATTATTCCTAAAGGGAACGTCAAGGACAGCCGTGCTGTGAACATTACCATGATTCCTAAAGGGAACGTCAAGGACAGTCGTGCTGTGAACATTACCATGATTCCTAAAGGGAACGTCAAGGACAGTCGTGCTGTGAACATTACCATGATTCCTAAAGGGAACGTCAAGGACAGTCGTGCTGTGAACATTACCATGATTCCTAAAGGGAACGTCAAGGACAGTCGTGCTGTGAACATTACCATGATTCCTAAAGGGAACGTCAAGGACAGTCGTGCTGTGAACATTACCATGATTCCTAAAGGGAACGTCAAGGGCAGTCGTGCTGTGAACATTACCATGATTCCTAAAGGGAACGTCAAGGACAATCGTGCTGTGAACATTACCATAATTCCTAAAGGGAACGTCAAGGACAGTCGTGCTGTGAACATTACCATGATTCCTAAAGGGAACGTCAAGGACAGTCGTGCTGTGAACATTACCATGATTCCTAAAGGGAACGTCAAGGGCAGTCGTGCTGTGAACATTACCATGATTCCTAAAGGGAACGTCAATGACAGTCGTGCTGTGAACATTACCATGATTCCTAAAGGGAACGTCAAGGACAGTCGTGCTGTGAACATTACCATGATTCCTAAAGGGAACGTCAAGGACAGTCGTGCTGTGAACATTACCATGATTCCTAAAGGGAACGTCAAGGGCAGTCGTGCTGTGAACATTACCATGATTCCTAAAGGGAACGTCAAGGACAGTCGTGCTGTGAACATTACCATGATTCCTAAAGGGAACGTCAAGGACAGTCGTGCTGTGAACATGACCATGATTCCTAAAGGGAACGTCAAGGACAGTCGTGCTGTGAACATTACCATGATTCCTAAAGGGAACGTCAAGGACAGTCGTGCTGTGAACATTACCATGATTCCTAAAGGGAACGTCAAGGGCAGTCGTGCTGTGAACATTACCATGATTCCTAAAGGGAACGAGGACCGGAACTGTAAGGACAATTTCTGCTTTGCCTTCCAGAGTTTTCTCCTCCTTTTGTCATGTGACCACAGTTCATTTTGACAGTTTGACCGCGGTTACCTGGTTTTGCAAAGGTACGCTACTCTGAATTGGCCAATGGCCAATTGACATTTCTGGGAAATTAAGTAGTTATTTCTTTTTTATAAATAGAACTAATCTATTTTGTTATTATGCAGATTTTATACCACGTCCCATTTGACAGCAAAACCATTTACAATGGCTTGACGTTGACGGCGGCTGGAGATAACTCGGGACTGACATTATATGTATCGACAGTAAAGACGTGGAGAGATTAAGAGTGGAACAGCTTTTGTGGATATAATAAATAAGACATTTTATTCACATCATCTTTTATCTGACAATTGATGTCTTTTAACAACCCAATTCATTCAGTTTATTCAGGGGACGGGTTATTTCTAATAACTTCACGGTGTTTTTATTTGACATCAATAACACGTATGGGATGCCTACGTCCTGGACGGACGCGCCAGGGGAAGTCCAGGGTAGATTCGGTCTCCAGCAACCTGTAAGTGTTGTAAGTGGCGGGTGACTTTGTTGATTGCGTACCAACTTTACTACACTTGACTATTTATTTACAGGCCCATCGATATAGCTGGATGTTCAACAACAACAACAACAGCAATTACTCCCAAGCATACATTGATCTGGTCCCCAACTTTCTTAAACCTTCAATGTAGTCAGCAAGGGTAGATGATTGCATACGCAGGTCCTCCTCAAAGCGTGACACTGACTCTTGACACACTCACTCACTCACTCACTCATTCATTCACTACCCTTACGTTGTTACTAGAGCAGCTGCCGATGTGAACACCCTCTGCACGCTCAACATCGGACATCGTCATGGTGACGTCATTGATCTGAAGCTTTCGCACGCAGCCAATCAGCGGCCTGCACAAAGTATAGGGAATCCATCAAACTAAACATATTAACAATCTATGTCTGGGTCAATGTAGCATTAATCAATCATGTATTAACTATTAATTCACCAGTTAAGTACTGAAAAACCTGGTATAGGTAGTTCAAATTCAGTCGTGGTACGATGAAAAAACCAATATTCGACTAGTACTTCTGCATGACACGATTCTTAACATGCAACGTTTTGGTTTGGTACTAAAGTATTGATATACGAAACAAAGAAATTGTTTTGTGGACAGTCGAAAACAGAATATGTTTTAAAGTAAAGATTTCATTTAAAAAGATCGATGTATACTGTATGAGCAATAATCTTGAACGCGACGTTAAACCCCATTTCACCTCACCTCATTTCATAAGATGAATTACGCTCATTACGAACCAGACCTTGTTCATATTGCAAGGTAATAATCACTAATATATGTATCATCACTATATCCTATCCACGACTCATACTTTTCTGCTAATTGGGTTTTTACCTGAACCTGTTCCCCATTCTCTCTCGGTGTTCTGGCAGCATCCCCCCGACGAGGATACCCTTGGTCGGCGTCTGTATCCTCTCGGGGCGCGTCCGCTCTATGGAGAACAGGCCTTCTTTGCCATCAATCTCTGGATACGTCTTGCTGTCTCTGTATCCGATCTGTGGACATAAACACAGAAGGCTCATGCCTGCATGACATCGTCTCTAGTCGATGTCATTACACCGAATTATACACTGATAAGCAAAAAGTAACAGAAATATAGCACTATTAAAAACATAATTCCGACATTACTTCAAATGCTTCTTATGAACGAAATGAGTACAGGGTGAAATTTCTGTAGTGCGCAAAACGCAATAACATATACACTAACACCTTCTATTGTAGGTTTGACAACAAATACAAACTAGCGGTCATCCCTACGTAAAGTATTGTGGCGGTCGATGCATTCTTGTCCACCTGTGGTATAGACCTACCTTAAGCGTGTGGAACAGCCCATCACTATATTTGTTTTTGTCTTCTGTAAGAACCACTGCTTCTGATGGGGTTGTAGTCTCTATAACCAGCGCCCCGTCCTGTAGTTGAGCTCGAAGCTGGAAGCCCTGCCATGACAATTGTGACATAAGCATTGTTGTCTACCTGGTTCTGATCAACCACACAGTGCTTCGAACACGTCATAAATGTGGAGTTGTGTTTTAATCGGAGAAGAGTTTACCTGCATACAACCATTATTACAAATGGTTGCGTAAAATTTAATACAAGGCAGTGATTGTACCAACGATTAAATTCATCTCTCACCAAGGGGAGATAATTGTGTTTCAAGGCTAACGATCGCCTGAGAAATTGGAGTATCTCCGATGTTTCATGCAGGAAACGCAAAGTGTGTGACCAATCGATGGAATTATCTACCCTCATTGGAGTCATTAGCGTATTGCGTTTACAACAGTTTATTCCATGTCGTATTAGTATCTTTATTCAGATAAACCATTTTATAACCATTATCGTCATAATGAGTGAGTTCATTTCTGGTATCCCACCCCCGTGATATTGACATGATATTGGTAAATGGGACATAACACTACTCACTCATACCCATGTAATAAAGTAGAGCTCATCGATAATGCATTAGAAAATATCGAGTCAGGAACAAGTCAGTTTCCTGAAACAGATGCAATGCATGCCAACCAGATGATTTTAAAAAAAAATAAAATAAAGATCAAAGATCCAACTTACTCTCTTCACGACTGTCATAAGGAACGCGTCCTTCTGTCTCGTTCTGAACTCAAAGTAGACGGATCTGGTGGGGTACCTCAGCTGCGCTGTGTGGACCGGGTAGTGGGCGTACCCGTCACCCTCGAACACCATGGAGGGAGGCTGCAGCGACGGGGAGCTGTGGGGAGTTCACGGTTTATTGTACCAGCGTTAGTTAAGTTGTACACCGTATATTTCTTAGAAGATTAAATTTTCTTTACTATTACTACTGCTTTATGAAAGTATTCAATAAATTATAAAACACAAATTATATTTCAACTTTGTATGATATTCGTTATTTTTGGTAGGGATCGCTACTACAGCTACTCACCAGCTAGACGTGCATGGAGCTGGCACTTTACCGTCGCTGGTCTTCTGTAGGAGGCCCACCGAACGACCGTTCACCCTCAATCCGCCCACACAGCCTTTCCACACGTCACTGGACAGAGACATCTGCAAACAGGGAGCATAGGGATACAACATAGTAGAATAGGGATAAAGCACAGTAGGATAGGGATACAACATAGTAGAATAGGGATACAGCACAGTAGGATAGGGATACAACAAATTAGGATAGGAATACAACATAGTAGAATAGGGATACAGCACAGTAGGATAGGGATACAACATAGTAGAATAGGGATACAGCACAGTAGGATAGGGATACAACAAATTAGGATAGGAATACAACATAGTAGAATAGGGATACAGCACAGTAGGATAGGGATACAACATAGTAGAATAGGGATACAGCACAGTAGGATAGGGATACAACAAATTAGGATAGGAGTACAACATAGTAGAATAGGGATACAGCACAGTAGAATAGGGATACAGCACAGTAGGATAGGGATACAACAAATTAGGATAGGAATACAACATAGTAGGATAGGGATACAACACAGTAGAATAGGGATACAACATAGTAGAATAGGGATACAGCACAGTAGGATAGGGATACAACAAATTAGGATAGGAATACAACATAGTAGGATAGGGATACAACACAGTAGAATAGGGATACAACATAGTAGAATAGGGATACAGCACAGTAGGATAGGGATACAGCACACTAGGATAGGGATACAACATGGTAGGATAGGGATACAACACACTAGGATAGGGATACAACACACTAGGATAGGGATACAACACACTAGTAGGATAGGGATACAACACATTAGTAGGATAGGGATACAACACACTAGTAGGATAGGGATACAACACACTAGTAGGATAGGGATACAACACACTAGTAGGATAGAGATACAACACATTAGTAGGATAGGAATACAACACATTAGTAGGATAGGGATACAACACATTAGTAGGATAGGGATACAACACACTAGTAGGATAGGGAAACAACACACTAGTAGGATAGGGATACAACACATTAGTAGGATAGGGATACAACACACTAGTAGGATTGGGATACAACACACTAGTAGGATAGGGATACAACCCACTAGGATAGGGAAACAACACACTAGGATAGGGATACAACACACTAGTAGGATAGGGATACAACACACTAGGATAGGGATACAGCACAGTAGGATAGGGATACAACACATTAGGATAGGAATACAACACACTAGGATAGGGATACAACACACTAGGATAGGAATACAACACACTAGGATAGGGATACAACACATTATGATAGGGATACAACACACTAGGATAGGGATACAACACACTAGGATAGGAATACAACACACTAGGATAGGGATACAACACACTAGGATAGGGATACAACACACTAGGATAGGGATACAACACACTAGGATAGGGATACAACACACTAGGATAGGAATACAACAAATTAGGATAGGGATACAACACATTTGGATAGGGATACAACACATTAGGATAGGGATACAACACATTAGGATAGGGATACAACACACTAGGATAGGGATACAACATAGTAGGATAGGGATACAACACATTAGGATAGGGATACAACACACTAGGATAGGGATACAACATAGTAGGATAGGGATACAACACACTAGGATAGGGATACAGCACACTAGGATAGGGATACAACATAGTAGGATAGGGATACAACACACTAGGATAGGGATACAACACAGTAGGATAGGGATACAACACACTAGTAGGATAGGGATACAACATAGAAGGATAGGGATAAATCACATTAGGATAGGAATACAACACACTAGGATAGGGATACAACATAGTAGGATAGGGATACAACACATTAGGATAGGAATACAACACACTAGTAGGATAGGGATACAACATAGAAGGATAGGGATACAACACATTAGGATAGGAATACAACACACTAGGATAGGGATACAACATAGTAGAATAGGGATACAACACAGTAGGATAGGGATACAGCACACTAGGATAGGGATACAACACACTAGTAAGATAGGGATACAACATAGAAGGATAGGGATACATCACACTAGTAGGCAAGGGAAACAGCACAGTAGGATAGGGATACAACATAGAAGGATAGGGATACAACACAGTAGGATAGGGATACAACACATTTGGGATAGGGTCACAACATAGTAGGATAGGGATACAACATAGTAAGATAGGGAAACAACAGTTGGGTAGGAATACAACACAGTAGGGTAGGGATACAACACAGTAGGATAGGGATACAACATAGTAGAATAGGGATACAACACACTAAGAGAGAGATACAACATAGAAGGATAGGGATACAACATAGTAGGATAGGGATACAACACAGTAGGATAGGGATACAACATGGTAGGATAGGGATACAGCACAGTAGGATAGGGATACAGCACAGTAGGATAGGGATACAACACACTAGTAGGATAGGGATACAACATGGTAGGATAGAGATACAACACCGTAGGATAGGGATACTATATAGTAGGATAGGGATACAACACAGTAAGGTAGGGATACAACATAGTAGGATAGGGATACAGCATCAGAAGAATAGGGATACAACACAAGCAGAAATAGCACAGGCTATATAACAAACCGGCACTATACCGGCACCATGCAAGTTAGTTGCGTGAATGCATTAATATATCATTTTTATGAACATAGGCCTACGTACGGGCACAGTGTCAGGTGCACCTCCCACGTAGGCGGCTAGAGGCGGAGGTTGACCGTACGACATGTCCATGCTGTCTTCCACAACGTCGGGGTCGTCACTTCCTTCAGACCGAACCATCAGTGCCACATTCTGACCATTCCTTGAGAAGCATTTAGCAGCATAAGTGACACCAGTGTGAGTATTTTAATCATTTTCACAGGTTGTTCCTATTCGACAAGTCTAACTATAATATTCTTTGAACATTTCCATTCCGATAGCATTAGAAATGCAATTTTGATTAGATGTCAGAACATTTTAAAGAAAATTGACGACTGTTAACTATGTTGGACTTACAAGAGTTGTTTTTCATTATTTTGAAAGTAGTTTAATGTATTGGACTACTGACGGAAACATCTGCCATACTGTGTGTGAAAACACACCAAGTATCTCTGTGGTCCTGAGTTAGTTGCTAAAGTGTTAAAAAGATACCAAAACGTCCTGAAAACGCTACGTTGTCATGATCTTACAGTACGTGTTGAGAAGAATTAGTTCCGATAAAATGTCAAAAGACGAGTGTGAGGTCAACGCCGCACCAGCATTCGTTCAGCTACTAGCAGCCAGACAAGTACATGCAATAATGAGGTTGTAACACTGCGTCCCCACCTCTGTATCAGCACGTTATACCACTTGTCCTTCTCGAGGGAAATCGTGCTGTCGACGTCGCCGGTCTCATAGCCCTCCTTGTCGTAGACGGTCATCTTCAAGGAGTTGCTCGACATGCTGAGGCCGTACGACTCCTAAAATTGACAATGATTTATCTCCGAGAAAGGCCACTGAGTGAGTTATTTGGTGCATTAGTAAAGGAGAAAGACGAGTTCCAGGTCTGGTTTGGGATTGTGAAACCCAAGGGTAGAAAAACAGGATACGCAGAGAAGAAACTGGTTATTGTATTTGCAAAAACCTATTTCAGTGGAGGTATGGGTTATCATACAGTTTGTCATAAACAAAGGGGAGGAGGCCAGCACAGACAAAGCCCAAATAAGCATCATCAGAGGTCATTATACGGTGAACAATAGATGACGTCACATGAGTTTTCTAAGGCTGCTTCCCTCTCGGTTTTCCTCACCCGATCTCTGCTACTCTCGGGTTTTTATTTCCAACCAGTCACTTCACCGTATTTCGAACCGATAACCAACAATGCCTGGTAGCATTGCTAGCTGAAGCTCTTCCATCTTTCTAAGGCAAGGGACTGTAAAAGTCTTGTTTCCGCCCTTGTCAAACTAGGTTGGAATTTGTGGGCCTCATCTGGGGCTTTTACGAGTCATGCCCCTTCTATGACCCTCCTATTGACCAATCAGATTTTACCTCTCATATCACCTGTTTGTTTCAAATAAAATGGCTGCGCCCCGTCAAGAAGATCTGATCGATAATCAAGGTCCTCATTGTGATAGAAACGGGGCTTACCTCGCGAAGCGCATCAAATCACTTGTGCACCTTGATTAAAAAACATGAGATATTTTAAATATATCTGTCGACGCCCAGTTGACGGTACACATGCTCTGCAAATTCTGCAATCGGCGGAAATATGTACGGCAGTCGCTATGTTGATTATGAACCGGATGTAGATTTCGTTACGCGATTTTGATTGGACTATGCCAAGACTCGTTAGTCCAGCCAAAATATAAGTTTGATAATTCCAGCCTAATTCGGCAAGGGTGGAAACTGGATTTTTATAGTCTTTGCCTCGGGTAGACGAAGCTCTGCGGGGTTGGGTTAGTTATTAATTCATTTATTGATTGTTGTTCCAAGCCACTATAAAAAACAAAGCTATATCATGGTGGCGGTGTCCCCCATGACACAAAGTGCTATAATAAGCTATAGTAATCGGTTCGAATCCCTGATTTGCTACGACTGTTAGTTTAGTTTATCAGCATCATGCTCGTACCCCCACCCATTGTGCTGAGTTCCCGTTCCATAACTGAAATTCAGTTCCATCGAACGTTCAACCTTTCTCAAGACCACCGAGGATAGGACAGAACTATACAAATCATTGCCACCATAAACAAGTTCCTTGTTCTCACCGAATTGTTCCCAGACAACAACAGGATTGGTCCGTCGGCAACTTCCGGTCTGATACAAACTTCGACAGATGTGCGCAGGGTCAGAGAGTCGTCAGAAGCCGCAAGGGGCAGGGGGAGATAATCCTCGTCTTGCTTGTTGATGCTCATCTGATATCGACATGAATGATGTTGATGGTGTATTGGAATAAGCAAAGCGTATTTCAATCAAATAAAACAGTTTATTCTGTTGCCAATTTAGTCTAAACTGCCCGTAGTTAACAGTTAATGTAGCGAGCACAATTTTGAATCATAAAAAACAATGTTTCATATACATCTCGATAAATTACAAACACACACACACGCAACACACCAGATATCAGAAAGATTCAGAAAGACTCCAGAGTTACAGTCCCGGAAATATAGTTATCTTATTTAAAAAGAGATTTATCTCCAAAATAAAATCGAGGTGGAGCCCAGAAATAAGCTCAAATACAGCCTAGGGTTGAGGCAATCCAGACACGATTTGGATTCATTTGTTAATTGATCTCTAGGCTCTGGGAGACATGCAGGTTACACATGTATGGTTATTTTTGCGAGGTCAATGGCCAGGACCCCCAGGCAATCTGATGCCATCAATCCAGAGTGGCATTGGTCACCAAACATAGTTCCTTTGTATAGCGTACCTGTATAGACGCGAGCATCATCCTCGCCTTCTCCACCTTGTTCCTGAGACTAGAGATGTTGGCTTGTATCTGGCCGACAGTCAGATCCACTCCGGCCACCATTGATGGGCTCAGCCGGGTTAAGGTCAGCATGGACCGCATGTTGGTTTGTGCTTTACCCGCTGTGTACAAGGCATCGTAATGAATACAAGGCGACTTTAAACGGAAGTCACTTTGGTGGACGAGAAATATTTGAAGAATCAATGCTAAATGCAAGACAGGTATAGGTTGTTCTCGAGTTCTCACATTAGGCAAAAAGTACCAGAATGAGTCAGGGGAGGATGTTAAATGCGGCAGTCAGCAATATTCCTGGTATATCAAGGCTGGCGAAACAAGCCAGGCAAACTGGTAGCTGAAAACCCGAGCAACGACCCACCTAATCGGGGTATCTTAACGCACAGTCATTTAAGTGAACGATCCAGGTCCCCGATACTGTAGTGGATAGAGCGTCTGATCAGAGAAGGGTGGGGAGTTCGTTCTCCGGCCGCGTCGAACCACAATACGTTAAAAATGATACATGTTATTACCTGCCTGGTGCTGTGCATGAAGGGGAAAAAGCAAATATTGGTCGGCTCGGAGTCAGTACAATGCACCTAAATTGGCTACCGATGTTAACATCTCAGAATGGTATCTCATGAGAGCTAGCTCTATATAGCCGACATAAGTCCGGATTAATGCTAGTAGACACACGCGCGTACATGCATGTTGCAATCTTAATGGGATGTCCCAATAATCTCGACGTTAAACCCCACTTCATCTCACCTCACAGTATTTGCTGTGTATTCAGCAGTGTAAACAGGCCGGCAAAAGGAGAGCCGTGAGTTGTGATCAATTACTGAGATATTTTCCTAATTTGTGGCAACATTTGAGCGTAAGTTATTTTACAATTTAATTTAAAACCTACTGGCTTCAATGGCTGCAGCAAAATCTTGGCTTTCACTTCCACCACTTCCTCCGCTTCCCCGATTACTGGCGTCACCTGACCCCCCGCCACCCTTGACCTCTGCCACTTTTCGTTCCGCTTTCAGCACAGCCTGGAATGTCTTGCTCTGGGTCATATTGTAGACCAGGTCCACCCTGTCGTGAACATCTTTTATCCGTTCCGAAATCCGATCAATGTTTGGCCTTTCTCTGTCCCAATCAGACAGAAACTGCTTGGCATCGTCCACAAATCTCCTTGTGGATTGGAGATTGACCTGAGCAACATTCCACCTTGTAGAAAAGGCTGGAAATTGAAGGTGAACTAATAAAAAGGTTGGCAAAAAGACACTTTTAGGAGGAAACCTGACCATTTCGGTTACCATTCGTTAACCATTCAAACTGTCATACGTTTTATTAATTTGTTTGAATTTCTGGTCGGTCTGTGACAAGAATGCATTAGAAACAAAATGCAAAACTCACCTCTTGATTTGTTCCTTGCCACTTGTGATTTGATGAGAGTAACGTCCCCTTTTTGACCCAGTTGAACAATATGCACCCGCAACTTATCACCTTAAACAGAAAACACATGTTGAAATATACTTTTTAACCACTACAACTCGTAATGGTATTTAGATTAAAATGCCCAACCATGTTCAAGCCTATACAAACATCACAATAACTCAAACGTGAAATACAATACAGGTTCTAGTCTGAAACTTAAATCAAGGAGACCATGCGGCTGACCTGATATTAAGGCGCAGAATAAGGACATGGAGAAAACGATCCGAGAATAATGCGGTTCTGGAGTGCAAATAATCCGAAAAAAACTGACATAATATAAATGACAGTGCAGTTAGAAAGAATCTATGCTTTCTTCGAGTGGTTTATTCGTCTTAACCAAAAATAGTAAAAGACATTACTCCCATACTTCAAACCTAAGCTCAACCAGGTTGTTCTTTACAAAATAATTGCAGTTTTCTCGGATTTTTTCCCAAATTCAATGAATTTCCACACCCATAAAGTTTCAATTTAGTTCTAATATTAAACAGAAAATCAACGATGGATTCCTTGCAATCTGACTGAATTTTCAAATTTCATGCCTATCAAACTTAAATCCCTTAAAGTGTAGGGTCAATCGGTAACCAATCCTACATTTCAAAAGGTAAAACCATCACAGAGGCCGACAGACGTAACTGATTTCCCATCCATTTATTCAGAAAGGAAACAATTGATGAGATCATGGGAAGAAACGGTTTCGGATAGGATTTCAAAAATAATTAGATACAATCTTTGCAAAATGTTAGCTATCGTTTTCGCATAAATATATTTTATTCGTATCAAATAACATATCGATAATAATTTTGTTACAGTTGAACAAAGAAACCAGATCTGCAAATAATTGGAACATGTTTTTTCTGCATTACTTCATAACATTTGGGTGAAATAAAAGATTATAATCTACGACTGTAATGCTGGAAATTACCAAAGTTTTTCAAAGCCTTGTCTGGTATTCTTTTGGGAAGTTTGTCTTCGTCAAATACAAAATCTGAACCATCCGGGTCGGTTGACGTAAAAGCTGTTTCGAGTGCACTCCCCACGTCGACGTAGTCGTCACAGTCGATGGGGGTGACGTCACTGTCATCGCCTGAACCCATTTCAAGCTCCTCGCAGCGTCGGCGTAGTTCGTCTTCGTCATTGATAGCTAATCGTATGCCATCTAACACAGTGTGGATTTGCTGAAATTGACGAAACGGAACATATTAACGCGTATACACGTTGACATTTCCCCTCAAAATATACCTGAACTTGACAGTTACTCTTGTATTAATATAATTCAACATCGAATGTTGAAAACTGACTAACTGGGTCCCACCAAATCGGTATCCAACAATGACTAGGCTGAGACAGTTTGTGACGATGGTTGACAATGTTGTTATAAACGTCATCCCGGTCACTGACATACAGTATATAAGTAGAAATTCAGTCTCCTTAAAATCGCTACCACTAAACAAAGATCTGACATCCCATTAAGGGTGACGTCAGAACGACCTTTCTTCCGACCAATCAGAGCGTCGCTTACCAGATCAGGAAAGTGACATTCGGGATGTGCTTTCTAATCATGCAACCTCGTAAAGGTTAGCACGGGGTATTCCAAACGACTGAATCCGTCAAAATTATCGTTTATCTCTCGCTTCAATGCGATAAACATTTTAACGGAAGATACTTTGCGTAGCCCGTACGAAATACAGCGCTTCAATCTAGGTCATCTATTGGACCTTCTAAAGTGTTCTTTTGTTCAGTTTTCAAATTTTGAATCGAGAACTTTGTCAAAATATTTTTTAAAGTGTTGTCTGGAATGTAAGGTGGCAATTTGAAATGCTGCTTTCTGATTGGGTTATGTCGACTTCTTGTTATAAATCATTTTATTGGTCGGTTAAAGTACGCGAAATGTCGTTCTGACGTGATCGGTAATGGGGTGTCCTCATATCTTTCTTTAGCCGTAGCGAGTACTAAGATCTGATTTTAATGAGATTTGGAGAAATCGAGATAGTTTGTATTTGTTATTGCCACAACCATTTTTTAAGTCATCCACCATGTCCAACGAACATTTTTTTTGTTGGGCAAAAATGAATTCACAGACTACCGACCCCCCACCAGAATATCAATATTAGTCCCGTGCGTATGTTTGTCAGACTATACCTTTACATGTGCGATGAGTCTATCTGCCAGTAGGGACGCCTGCAGGCGATATGGCACGCCCCCTCCTCCCCGCCCAACATTCTTGGCCTGTCTTATCAACGGGTTCATCAACCTAGAATAGACATCTTCCATAAGATAATGCATAATCAGATTGATAATCAGCCTAGATTATTCAATGCATTATATCTCCATAATACCATGGACCAACTGGAGTCAACAGTCTCGTTTTGATCCCGATTCTATAAATAGTCGTCCACTGAATACACTCATAGACGAGAGAAACTTTGTGCGAAGTTACTGATAAGAGGAATGGAAATTGTGACATCACTTCCGAATCGTAATTATGGTAATCAATCAGTCTTTATCATTAAAGATTATATTAATACTCACATATTACTAACAAATGATGCTGGTTGTAAACAACTTATGTTTGTGCTTAACGCTGCAGTCAGCAATATTTCAGCAATATTTCAGCTGTATTACTGCCGGTTGTAACCAGACAAACCAGTGATGAAGCATCGTCCCGCAACGTTGTGATACGATGACACGCAATTAGCCAAGTCACCGGATCCGCTACGATGCCTCTTATGACAAGCATAGATTACTAGGGATCTATTCTAACCCGGACCACACGGACCCACATTCTTTAGTCTATGTGTTTACGGTTTGTGAACCAGTCTCCGCACATTTAAGGAACACTATAGTTATCTTGTTTGTTGGAAACCTATGTATTCCGGGTGATAGTGATTTCTGGATTAACCATAATTTCCCGTCTGGATTAACGGGGTTTCACTGCATACCACTACTATGGCCTAAGATGTCATTCCTTGGTTTTTGTTCTGTATGAACGAGGATTCCACCTTCCACCCAGCCCAGTTTTAGGCGTATTACCTGGCGATGTTGTTCGCTTGCCGTTCCAACTTATTGGCATAACTGACAGCTCGGTTAATGATTGGTCGAAGTCGATCCCTTTCTGCGGCAGTGATGTATGTGGTGGATGCTCTTCTCGGCCTTGACCTTGACCTTCGGTGTGGTCTCCTGTCGGTAAATGACACGGGCGCCAAAGGATTTATGCCTCCACCCCTCTGTCTTTTCAGATCTCCAGCAGCAATCCTGTTACCCTGAAGAAAAAACAAAAAATCACAGTGAGGGATCAGCAATATTGCAGTTATTCATGGCCAGGTTTCCGGAGACGACTCCGCCTACGATGCTTGAGTTGTCGTGATATTCGCAAGTGATTGAATGCTGTTTTACGCCTTAGCAAGCAATATGCAGAAATAGACGAACTGTAATACAAAGCCAGACAAACAACAAATTGATAGCATGAATATGCCTGGTATTGTGGATGACACCAGTCAGTCACCTCAAGCGTTCTAACCAACAAATACCCGGGTTCGTTGGCTTTTGGGGCGAACATGGGGTACTGAGGACCAAATACTGGCTTTGGACAATGAATTTTGAGAAGACACAAGCAATATGTCAGAAGTGAATCCTTTGACTTCATGCCGAACGCCATAACCACTAGGCTAACCCACTGCCCCAACTGATCACACGTTAATGATTCATGTGGCCTAAGAACGAATCTGGAGACCATACCCTTGACGTGGCAGCCGCCACTCTCAGCTCTTCTTTTGCCTTCCTGACCAAGTTGGACGCCACTATGATGTCGTCTCTAGCCGTCGCCCCATTTGTCAGCTGAAAAAGCATACCGGTACAAAATTAAATGTTGAATCTCTTTAGACGTCAGCAACTGGAAACTGCATCGATAATATACCCAATGAATCTTCATACTGGGAGAACATTTTGACTCAGGGCAAAAGAGAAAATAAATAAGTAAACTATGTTATTTTATTCCTGCAGTAAAACAAAAACATTTCTCTGGTACTTTGGGGAGAGATTCTTTCGGGAAACGCCAGTTCTTACCGAGAACCTGCCAAGCTTCCTTGCCACCATGGCGGTATCGAACTCGGCCTGAAGCTTCCAGACCGTCATGTTGACATGGCGGACCAGGTCGGCCAGCTCTCGCTCGTTGGTGTTGTCAGCTAGGATCTCCTCCAACTGCAGCACGTAGGAGGTCTGCTTCTCACACTCGCTGCAAAACAGGTGCCCGTTCATAGACTTATCAACGTGCAAAGCGAATGAAAACACGTGCTCGATCCCTTTATCTTCTTGGATGGTTGCATAAACAGAAATAACACCTACGAAAACTGTCAGCCCTGGGTTGCATTCCATAAAACGATCGTAGTGCTGAGGTTATCGTTACTCCCATACTTAGTACGATAATAGACGTACGATAGTCGTAGCGCTGTTCGCTTTGTGAAACGAGGCCCTGGTCTACTAACGACATAGCTTGCCACGAAGGCAACACAAAACCCGGTCGCATTTACACAACCCGTGAAAATCCCACCCACGACTGACGTTATTCGGTCGCCTTTTATCACAATCTGTGAAATATCCATACCTACCACTGACGTCATCCGGTCGCCTTTTACCACAACCCGTGAAATATCCATACCTACCACTGACGTCACCCGGTCGCCTTTTACCACTACCCGTGAAATATCCATACCTACCACTGGCGTCACCCGGTCGCCTTTTACCACCAACCGTGAAATATCCATACCTACAACTGACGTCATTCGGTCGCCTTTTACCACAACCAGTGAAATATCCATACCTACCACTGACGTCATTCGGTCGCCTTTTACCACTACCCGTGAAATATCCATACCTACCACTGACGTCACCCGGTCGCCTTTTACCACTACCCGTGAAATATCCATACCTACCACTGACGTCTTTCGGTCGCCTTTTACCACTACCCGTGAAATATCCATACCTACCACTGACGTCATTCGGTCGCCTTTTACCACTACCCGTGAAATATCCATTCCTACCACTGACGTCATTCGGTCGCCTTTTACCACTACCCGTGAAATATCCATACCCTTCACTGACGTCATCTGGTCGCCTTTTACCACTGCCCGTGAAATATCCATACCCATCACTGACGTCATCCGGTCGCCTTTTACCACAACCCGTGAAATTTCCATACCTACCACTGACGTCACCCGGTCGCCTTTTACCACTACCCGTGAAATATCCATACCTACCACTGACGTCTTTCGGTCGCCTTTTACCACTACCCGTGAAATATCCATACCTACCACTGACGTCATTCGGTCGCCTTTTACCACTACCCGTGAAATATCCATTCCTACCACTGACGTCATTCGGTCGCCTTTTACCACTACCCGTGAAATATCCATACCCTTCACTGACGTCATCTGGTCGCCTTTTACCACTGCCCGTGAAATATCCATACCCATCACTGACGTCATCCGGTCGCCTTTTACCACTACCCGTGAAATATCCATACCTACCACTGACGTCACCCGGTCGCCTTTTACCACTACCCGTGAAATATCCATACCTACCACTGACGTCATTCGGTCGCCTTTTACCACTACCCGTGAAATATCCATACCTACCACTGACGTCACCCGGTCGCCTTTTACCACTACCCGTGAAATATCCATACCTACCACTGACGTCTTTCGGTCGCCTTTTACCACTACCCGTGAAATATCCATACCTACCACTGGCGTCATTCGGTCGCCTTTCACCACTACCCGTGAAATATCCATACCTACCACTGACGTCTTTCGGTCGCCTTTTACCACTACCCGTGAAATATCCATACCTACCACTGACGTCATTCGGTCGCCTTTTACCACTACCCGTGAAATATCCATACCTACCACTGGCGTCATTCGGTCGCCTTTTACCACCAACCGTGAAATATCCATACCTACCACTGACGTCATTCGGTCGCCTTTTACCACAACCCGTGAAATATCCATACCTACCACTGACGTCACCCGGTCGCCTTTTACCACTACCCGTGAAATATCCATACCTACCACTGACGTCATTCGGTCGCCTTTTACCACTACCCGTGAAATATCCATACCTACCACTGGCGTCATTCGGTCGCCTTTTACCACAACCCGTGAAATATCCATTCCTACCACTGACGTCACTCGGTCGCCTTTTACCACTCCCCGTGAAATATCCATACCCTTCACTGACGTCATCTGGTCGCCTTTTACCACTGCCCGTGAAATATCCATACCCATCACTGACGTCATCCGGTCGCCTTTTACCACAACCCGTGAAATATCCATACCCATCACTGACGTCATCCGGTCGCCTTTTACCACAACCCGTGAAATATCCATACCTACCACTGACGTCATTCGGTCGCCTTTTACCACTACCCGTGAAATATCCATACCTACCACTGACGTCATTCGGTCGCCTTTTACCACTACCCGTGAAATATCCATACCTACCACTGACGTCACCCGGTCGCCTTTTACCACTACCCGTGAAATATCCATACCTACCACTGACGTCTTTCGGTCGCCTTTTACCACTACCCGTGAAATATCCATACCTACCATTGACGTCATTCGGTCGCCTTTTACCACTACCCGTGAAATATCCATTCCTACCACTGACGTCATTCGGTCGCCTTTTACCACTACCCGTGAAATATCCATACCCTTCACTGACGTCATCTGGTCGCCTTTTACCACTGCCCGTGAAATATCCATACCCATCACTGACGTCATCCGGTCGCCTTTTACCACAACCCGTGAAATTTCCATACCTACCACTGACGTCACCCGGTCGCCTTTTACCACTACCCGTGAAATATCCATACCTACCACTGACGTCATTCGGTCGCCTTTTACCACTACCCGTGAAATATCCATACCTACCACTGACGTCACCCGGTCGCCTTTTACCACTACCCGTGAAATATCCATACCTACCACTGACGTCTTTCGGTCGCCTTTTACCACTACCCGTGAAATATCCATACCTACCACTGACGTCATTCGGTCGCCTTTTACCACTACTCGTGAAATATCCATACCTACCACTGGCGTCATTCGGTCGCCTTTTACCACCAACCGTGAAATATCCATACCTACCACTGACGTCATTCGGTCGCCTTTTACCACAACCCGTGAAATATCCATACCTACCACTGACGTCACCCGGTCGCCTTTTACCACTACCCGTGAAATATCCATACCTACCACTGACGTCATTCGGTCGCCTTTTACCACTACCCGTGAAATGTCCATACCTACCACTGGCGTCATTCGGTCGCCTTTTACCACAACCCGTGAAATATCCATTCCTACCACTGACGTCACTCGGTCGCCTTTTACCACTACCCGTGAAATATCCATACCCTTCACTGACGTCATCTGGTCGCCTTTTACCACTGCCCGTGAAATATCCATACCCATCACTGACGTCATCCGGTCGCCTTTTACCACAACCCGTGAAATATCCATACCCATCACTGACGTCATCCGGTCGCCTTTTACCACAACCCGTGAAATATCCATACCTACCACTGACGTCATTCGGTCGCCTTTTACCACTACCCGTGAAATATCCATACCTACCACTGACGTCATTCGGTCGCCTTTTACCACTACGTGTGAAATATCCATACCTACCACTGGCGTCATTCGGTCGCCTTTTACCACAACCCGTGAAATATCCATTCCTACCACTGACGTCACCCGGTCGCCTTTTACCACTACCCGTGAAATATCCATACCCTTCACTGACGTCATCTGGTCGCCTTTTACCACTGCCCGTGACATATACATACCCATCACTGACGTCATCCGGTCGCCTTTTACCACAACCCGTGAAATATCCATACCTACCACTGGCGTCACCCGGTCGCCTTTTACCACTACCCGTGAAATATCCATACCTACCACTGACGTCATTCGGTCGCCTTTTACCACTACCCGTGAAATATCCATACCTACCACTGACGTCACCCGGTCGCCTTTTACCACTACCCGTGAAATATCCATACCTACCACTGACGTCTTTCGGTCGCCTTTTACCACTACCCGTGAAATATCCATACCTACCACTGACGTCATTCGGTCGCCTTTTACCACTACTCGTGAAATATCCATACCTACCACTGGCGTCATTCGGTCGCCTTTTACCACCAACCGTGAAATATCCATACCTACCACTGACGTCATTCGGTCGCCTTTTACCACAACCCGTGAAATATCCATACCTACCACTGACGTCACCCGGTCGCCTTTTACCACTACCCGTGAAATATCCATACCTACCACTGACGTCATTCGGTCGCCTTTTACCACTACCCGTGAAATGTCCATACCTACCACTGGCGTCATTCGGTCGCCTTTTACCACAACCCGTGAAATATCCATTCCTACCACTGACGTCACTCGGTCGCCTTTTACCACTACCCGTGAAATATCCATACCCTTCACTGACGTCATCTGGTCGCCTTTTACCACTGCCCGTGAAATATCCATACCCATCACTGACGTCATCCGGTCGCCTTTTACCACAACCCGTGAAATATCCATACCCATCACTGACGTCATCCGGTCGCCTTTTACCACAACCCGTGAAATATCCATACCTACCACTGACGTCATTCGGTCGCCTTTTACCACTACCCGTGAAATATCCATACCTACCACTGACGTCATTCGGTCGCCTTTTACCACTACGTGTGAAATATCCATACCTACCACTGGCGTCATTCGGTCGCCTTTTACCACAACCCGTGAAATATCCATTCCTACCACTGACGTCACCCGGTCGCCTTTTACCACTACCCGTGAAATATCCATACCCTTCACTGACGTCATCTGGTCGCCTTTTACCACTGCCCGTGACATATACATACCCATCACTGACGTCATCCGGTCGCCTTTTACCACAACCCGTGAAATATCCATACCTACCACTGGCGTCACCCGGTCGCCTTTTACCACTACCCGTGAAATATCCATACCCATCACTGACGTCATCCGGTCGCCTTTTACCACAACCCGTGAAATATCCATACCTACCACTGGCGTCACCCGGTCGCCTTTTACCACTCATTGCCGTTAAAATCGCTTACACCAATACTTGTCATGACCTAAGCCATAAAGCAACCAAAGATAAAACCTGGTGTACTGACAGCTGGTCCATCGCTGATATTGACGAAACTTGAACAAAATCGCGAGTATTTGTGACTCAATAGTCACGGGGATTTCTAAACTACAAGAAGGAAAATATGAACGTGTCTACGAAAACATATATGTACTTACTCGACCATATGTTGAGCCTGATCAAATTGGACTTTAGACAGTCGCTGAGCGTTCTGCACCGAATCCAAATCCTGTCTAAAAGACTTGAATTTTGGCATTTCTTGTTTTCGGTACGTCCTTGGTCGGGTATCTCCCCGCTTATGCGCACGCATGTATATGTCTTTCGTGAGGAGGGATATATCCATGACGACATCTGAAAAAGAAGAAGATTAATCTATATGTATAATAAACAATGCGTCTCAGACTCTATACTGCCTGAAATCTGATTACTCGGTAGCACTGTGTTGATACATAGTCGGGGATATTGTCATAGGGCCCCGTCAACACGGTGATCTTTGTGCCACGAGTATATCCTAGCTCCTACATTTGACACAAACGCACGAGTGTTAGGTTATATATGTTAAGGTGACTACAAGCAAGAGTATATGTAATGGTAGCGTGCTCATAGACTGCAGTGGATCGCTAATCGTAACATTGGTCAAAATATACACTGGAACCATTTTCATTTTATAATAATAATTTTATTATAATAATTTGGATTTTAATTCAAATTATGGCTCAAATTGCCTCAAACAAGACAACACATAAAAGTAAAATTGAAACATGGTTCCGAGGGGGTGATATCATGTTTCCGGGTTCATATCCATTCGGAACACTTGGCTGAGCCTCACGTAGAAGCAATTGAGTAATAGTGAAATCCTTTGTTGAGGACATTACATAATGACATAGATGTATACCCACAGAAACTTCAGTCAATTGAGCAAATTGTTTCGTTGTGACGAGTCAGTAGAATAAGCAGGTGTACAAACTTGAACGTACAGTGACCAAGTACTTGCAGAGAATGGCTTCCATGACACCAAAGCCCTCCATGCCGACATGAGTAAAAGACACAACATGTCTCGTGATAATCTAGCTCTGTTTGAAGTTGTTCCAGAGTACAGTTCGTTATCGCAGAAACTTTAGCAATAAAGAAAAGATAGGCTCGATGGGTTGCAATGCTTCTGACATCTGAATACAGATAAAAACGCACCATGCACATGTCTCGTCATAATCTAGTTCTGTTTTAAGCTGACCCAGAAAGATCATTGCAACGATTTGTGACCATGGGTGGAATCTGAGTTCACCGCTTCCAGGCAAACACCAATCAAAACAGTGAAGGCATCTGACCACTACCAAATAAGGAAACCACTGTTCCATCAGCTGGAAAGGCCTCCGTGTCCTGGGATGCCGAGGGAAAGACCAGACAATAAACAGGCCATATTATGCTGCTCTTCCGAGGCGATTGCGGGTTGAATTTAAGACAAAGAGACGTGTGAAGCTATAGTGAACTCACCATACACCATGTCATTTGCCTTAGCAATGTTCTGGAGTTCGTGCCTCACGCCCATCATGATAGTATAGCGTGTACTGTTGAAGGCGAAGTCGTAGGTGTCATGCATCTGAAAGATGAACCAGGGACATAGTCAGTAGGACGCAAGTATTCTCAGTAGTCACTGCTTGCATGTTTATTGCATATACATATATTAGTACTATATACTTTATTAACCCACCATGCCATGGAATCTATACTTGCGATAAGTAAATGCACACTGTACAGCTTCTCTAGAACACACAACATTAACCATCTTTAAGGTAGTAATCCCTGCAATTGTCTGTTGACAAGCTTTACGGGTCAGTTAGAATATTCGATATTTACATTTGACTAGATATTTGCTCCTTCGGTTTAAAATATCTTTACAGCAAATAGGCCTAAATAGGATTTCGGTGTGGCTTTTATAAGTTCAGGGTGAAAAAGGCAAAATATCCCATTGTAACGTACAGTCAAACAACGTTGTGTCTAGGTTAAAAGGACCAAGATAAATACTTCGAGACAAACTTAAGTTCGACACACTAAAGTTCGACACAACAGCGTTTGATTGTATTTGTCCCAGCGGTACAACTTAAATTTGTGCATGACATTTTTAAATGTATGAAGCGGCTGGAAAAGTCTCATAGCTGGAAAGCATTATTCCACTCGCCCTCCATCCGCTCACATTCGATATATGTCGATGTCGTGTGAAAACAATTGTATCCAAAGTATTATTTTGTAATCTTCATCAATAATAGTGATTTCGGGTCAGGATGAGCTTGAGGGGACACAGTGACCCAGATGTTCACGGGGATCTTATCGATGAGAATGGCTCACGCTGGAGTGACCAGATCCAACCCATCTAATGTAATGTGATTACTTACAAGGACGACTTACGCCTGGGAGCTGCGTCAACGATTGACGCATTAAGCACTTAACCTTGTACGACACTGGTTGGGGGGATTTGCGCAACACAACAACATAAGCGGATTATATGAGGGGTGAAAAACTTGCCTGTTGAATGTTCGACTTCAAGGCCATAATGACCCGGTCGATGGAGGACACGAGGTGATGGGTAGAAGTCCCCATGCTGGGGTGGAGTCGTCGTTCCTGATGAAACAAGATTGTTAATGACAAAAAATATCAATAATTGCAAACTAAGAGTAGGGGTAGGTACATGGAAAACTGAAAATAAATGTGAAACTTGCTCTAAGGCTCTGTAGCTCACCCGACGGATAACAACCACTGCACGTTCAACATTCTGTGTCATGCGTGTTTCAATAGTTTTTGTTTATAGGAAATACAGCCATTCACTCGAACAGAGAAAGTGTACACAATTATTCAAACATCCATGAATAGGAAATCCTACCTGCTTTTTATGGATGTGGATCATTATATTATTAACATGATTGGCACCTTTGTTTGGTCATAAAACTGGAACATGTTACAATGTGTTTACATCAAAGATTACGTTTCGACACAAGGCATATTCGTTGAATATTGAATTAGACGTTGCTACATAAATAAAGGGTTTGTTTGAGAACAAAGAACATTTCAATATGGTTGCTGTGGCTGCCATGCTAAGCACGCGTATTGGAACTATGAGGACGCTATAACTCGGCTCAGAAACATACACGTCCTACTAGATAGGTGCCATAAGAGTAATTGAAGGTCAAAGGTCGGGGCAGGGCAAAAGAACATAATAAATTAGTCATAATGTGTTGCTATTGCTACAAATTGAAAGCACAGACAATTTTTAATCCAAACCCGCAGACTTGGTGGAGGAATGGGCCTAAATGACATTTGAAAAATGGCCATGTTCAAATTCGGATGGGAATTCTATTACTATTGTAAAGCCTTGTGGGATTATCTTTGCAAAGTTTCAGCTACGGTGGCCTTTTGACATTTAGAAGAGGTGTAATGTGAAATAAATGCAAAAGTCCATGGGCGGGAGTTATTTATATTCCTCATTTTACTGTCAAAACCTATTTCTTGTTTGAGAAGGCCTAGTGTCAAGTATACATGTGCAAATTGGACTAGTTGTTCTCCAAACAATACACCCAGGTTTGTTATTTCAAGGTCGCTTCAAACGGCTATAATTGTTTTTCCAAGAAGCAAAGCGCTTTTGTAAACCTAAAAATAAGTAATTTCCAATGTCGATGTCTTCATCAAACGGAAATGCTGCTGTGTGATTTAACAAGGCTTATAAAGGGGTCAGTTCTCCAAGTTGTAAAGAAGAACTTGAAAATGCGGCATGTCACCGCGGACCGGACCGGTTCCAAAAAGCAATCTTAGCGTGACGTCTCTCGTGAGTCAATGTCAATGAATGTTAAAGAGTTCAAGATCTCACTATCATCGAAGAAGAACAAGGAACGTTTTCTGGAACTGGGCCTATGACCTTTATAGCAGTGGAAACAGTAGCCTGAATACATAACCATGTAAAGCTGAACACCGCTAAATCACTAACCAGTCTGTCAGCTTCAGGTGGCCTTTGTAGACGGTCGAAACCCCTACCAAACCCGGCATAGTACTGGTCGTATGACGCTCGTTCATGGTGATCCGCTAATACGTCCTCTGATTGAAACATGTCTTCCAGTGATACGGCGGCCATCTTGGATTTTTCCTTGCGTTGTCGGTTCTTTCTTCTCCTCTTCTTTTTGTTCTTTCCGTGTTTCTTTTTATTCATATTTTTCGGTTTTCCATGGTGATGGCGACGTCGTTGCTCTTCCGCACGTTTACATCCTGAATTTAAATAAAATGTTGTATGTTACTTTTAGAATCATAAATTATGTTCTTAGTCTCAATTCGGGAATTGCCCGACCTCGGTTATAACGATACACGATATATTTCCAAGGTGTGTTATTGAAATATGATGTGAAAAGCCAATTTGGGATAATAAGTGATCTTTGTTTAATTATTATTGTTTTACGTGTTTATATTGTATATGTTTAAGGTGAAACGTTCAAACAATTATGCATATCTATATAACAGTAAACTATGGTTATAACGAACTCAAAGGGACCACTAATTTTAGTTCGTTAAAACCGTTGTTCGTTATAAGCATATATACAGCATATACATAGCAATTGTCCGGGACAAAAAACACAGTTCGTTATATCCGCCAGTTTGTTGTAAGCGTGTTCGTTATAAATGTATATATAATATATTAAGCGTATATATCCACTCAAATCGTACACTTTAACACTGAGATTAAAATCGCAAGTGAATTGGTTTCATTCGCATTTTAACACGACTTTTGCTTCATATAGTGTACATCTACATGTGTATCAAACACGTAGCACTGAGCCGGTCCATAAAATGACAATGGAGTTTTTTACCAACTTTCTGTCAAACAAGCTTTCAAGTAAATAGAGATCAGAGAACGGATAGCATAAGGTTAAAGAAAACAAATAGAATCTAAGTCAGATAACATAAAATCAAAATGGCACTTTATACATATCTACGATCGGTATCTGAAGTGTACATAATGTTGATAATACAAGGATATGTGTGTATAATACAATCTGTAGTTCTGAAAACAGTTTGAGCTTCATTACATCCCACATGTCTATACTATGTACGTATATGTCTATGAAATGTTTATAGAAGGTTTATAACACAGCTAGGGGTTAAGGAGTACATATCCCCAGACGGCCCACAGACTGGGGTAAGTGACATTAAGATAAGGGCTTTATGAACACCGGCTGTACAATACATTGTATATTGACCGGGCCCTACATACACCTGTGGCGACAAGTAGCGAGACACACGAGACGTCGGGTCATGTCGGGTCAGCTGGGAACAAATCTGCTTTGTCGCGAACATCAAAGTCGACTTGGGGTAGTGAGGAACGTAGAGCGATAACATCTCATTCTGAGCAGCACTAAGAAGGTAACCAGTTCACCAGTAGCGCTATATGACGATATTTCATTCATGGCTCAGCGATAAACTCTGCAGAGAGAATGGCTGATCTACACGCAAGCGTTGTCAGGGGGTAGTTTCGTGGGGTAACTTATTCATCATTGTAACAGCAAGTCTACACTTGGAGGTGTCAAATGGTGAGAATGACGTTAGCCACACAAGATATCATTCAGATGACACTAATAATGACAAAAGGCCTAGTAGCGTAATTGTCTTTTGTGGTACTGCTTTTTTTGTTTATTAGTTGTATAATGCCGCATTAGTTGTATATTCATGCTATATCACAACAGCCTGTAAATAAACGAGTCTGGACCAGACGAGCCAGTGATCGATATTACGAACAACGTCTCATGTCGTCTGGATATGATGACGTAATCAGCATGTCAAGGAGCTCATCACTTAGTCGCCTACGGTTATGATTTATGCTTTCATTAAAATGCACCCGCGTCATACCAAAAGATGTTACATGCTGGTACTCGTTGTTACCCTGCCTGGTGTTCTTTAAGAGGATGAAACTTAGTAAGGACTGGTCGTTTCGGAGTCAGTATACTCGGTCTGAGAGGAGTATCTATATTAAACTGACACACGGTATGTCAGTTGGCACTAAAACACAACTAGTTCGGAGGGGTACACGCACGCACGCACGCACGCACGCACGCACGCACGCACGTCGCTATATAAGTGCAATTATCTTGAACGCAACGTTAAACCGATTACACCTCATGAGCGCGGGAGATTGTATGCTAAGTTAGAGATAGGAGGATGGTGGATGTGACGTTTTTTCCGATACACATCTATGGTGGCGAATGGGTCTAGGCTATTTCTTGAACTGGAATAGAGAAATAATATACTCGATCATGGAGGATGGCCTAAGGGATGCAATTCTGCCCTGTTGTCAAAGTAGGACTCAAACTCCGATCTATCTTGATGACCAACCCTCGACAGTAAGCCTAAAGCCATTCCGCAGCATACAGAAAATAACTGAACTAGCACTTGAATGATGTGGTCCTTGGATGTGATCTGGTCTTTGCGGACAGAACATGGGTACTATGTTTGCTTATCCCTGCGACTCCGTCAACGACCTTCACAGAAGTATCCATCATCACCCCATACCACGCCCTCAGTAAATATGTGTCCCCTCGGGGCCGTCAGAATGTCAGCATGGCCTTATGTAGAGCACTCGAGTGTTGTCATTCGAAGCTCCGAAAAGTGGGCAAACAGAACCTTCATGTAATATCGCAGGCATTCATTCGTGGGTGTGAATTCGAATGCCATAGGAGTGGGTTAGACCAACCAACCAGGATTCCACGCTAGAGGAATTCCACGCTACTAACACAATAGGTAAAGCTTAAGGGACTGGGAAAAGAATGATAAAAATAATTATGTTTCAGATTGCTGAAAAAAGAGCTTATCTTCAACAAGAATTGCATTAATGCAAGGTGTCCGTCTTGAATAAATAATCGCGCTCATAGTTATAATTTATAAAATATGTGATTTTGCACTCTACTCTAATCACCAGAATCACAACACAGAGCCCACGTATACAAAATTTGAATGTTGAATCGTTGTGACAAAGAGCCGATAAATCAAGCTTACTGCAACCACGAGTACATTGCTAAATCCCCTCGATATCAATCTGTCTATATGTGTTAACCTTGCCCATGCATCCTGTAACCTAGATTCCTGTCAGACCCCGGCCCTCTGACACTACCTGCTATTTTCTGCAAAGGAGGACCGAAAGGTCAGCGGGACATGACCTCTCCGATGGGCACGAACAAACAGCACTATGTTGTGTTCCCAAACAATTACGGATAGTATATGGGATGGACTACGGTGGAAATACGCAGCACATGGGAAATAGGAGCGCGATCTCGGGCAGGATTCAAACCAACTGCATAGCGTTTCTATAACACGTGCTTATTTGCATGTGTGCTATATTTTGGTATCGTGGGCAACACCCGGTTCCCATCTTGAAATGTAGGTCAGCGTGCGGTGAATGTGAGGGTGTACTACAGCAATACTCAGCATGCAGCAGTTGTAAACGCCATGGCCACATGTTCAAGCGCATTCTCTGGTGTAAACTGATCATGTAAAGATGGGTACCCCTGATAATAAAGTAGGTATACGGGAAAGAATAGGTCCTGAGTGCCCTATGATTGTCGAAAGAATCTACAAACCTGGCTGCAATTGCGTGCAATGGTGCCTTGCTGCCTTGGGTCGTTGATTATGCTATCGACCACTGGTTTCCCTGGCTCCGGCGCGATATAGTCATATAGCTGGGCTACTGCTGATATTGTTTGTCACTTTGTTCTATACTTATATGAATCATTCAATAAATGACAGTTTGAACGTTATTGGTGGATTTTATATCGTGAGAAATCGTGTCAACTTCAGTAATGAATGTGTCAAACGTACAGAATGTATTCCGACTTATCGTTAACTGAGATGCATGTTTCTCGCATGTTTGTAAGAACAGAGCCACTGCCCAGATCTACATCGGAGTTGACTCCCATACCTTAATATGGACATGTGAGAAAGTAGCGCTATCATAGATTTCTGGACGTAAGACCTGGGACCATGTTACGAAGCGAGGTTTTAGTGTTTCATCAATGTACATATGGGTACGGTAGTTGTGGAGAATGACTTCGTTGAAGTGTCGGTGTTACGATAGTCGCATCCTCGTTACCCAGTGTATTATATCTCCTTAAAAAAGCTTATACTTTGAGTCATAAACACAAAGTTTCATTTAGGAAGTCACGTCACCATCTCCACCTCTATCAACTGAGCACAGGATTTCTCTCGCTCATGGGTGAAAACCGATTGGAAGGCTATCTTTAGAGGCGTGTGTTGCGAACATGGTTCAAAGCGAAGCTATGGTAGCGAACGGACCCCGGTTGTTTATCATAATATAATAGAGAAATAACACACTGGATAATCGAAGATGCGATCGTGGTAACGCTAAGACCGCTTTATGAATCGGTGCCAGACTCACAATGTCCTTGTACATACAATGTCAAAGTATATACTTCTTTTTCTTTATTAACTGGAAAGACAGGTATATATGTTTCACAACATAATCAACAATTCTTTCAATAGGTGTCATACTTGGCACGCTCAACAAAACATTCTGACGAACTGTCATCGCTTCCAATCTGACACCCTCTGTGGGCATCGACAATTCACCTGTCAGAGGTTGTGGGCAAAGGAAACTCGTTAACAACTCAGCAGTAAGCAGAGTCTTGACAACAGCATGTTTCTCATGTTTTGCTGAGGACATCTGCACGAGTAATCAAGAGAAAACCTTGGTCAGTAGATGAGGAGATATCACAAACGAGTTTCTTTTATTTATTTTTATTACCTTTTCGCCATAGCTTGCACAACTTTACGTTTGGAAATCCCGACTTCATAACTTAGGAAACCAAATGCGATTTTGTGTGCTTGTCGAAAGAGGCAACTCAGTAGATCGAGCAGTCAGGCTCAGTGACTTGGTTGATTGGTGTCACCGTACCCCGATGGTGTGGGTAAAAGGAATTAGGATTCCAGATCAAAAGAAAATCGGAACGGGTGTTGGAAAAGAAGATGGCGTCCACCTCGAAAACACCCCGGTCTTTGTTTCGACATGAAATCCTTCTTCATAGTTCAGTTTGGATGACATTAACCACACCTTTTGAAGGTTTAAGTGATTAATGTCGGGACTAGTATATAGATTTTTAAATGATTTAATGATTTATAGCCATTCGGAGATGTAAAAGTTAAAATCCTACAGCGCAAATCCGCTAACCTTTCTTAGGGACGCCGTCATGTTATGTGATGTTAACTTT